CAAAACAGCATTTCTCAATGGTGATTTAGATGTTGAAATTTACATCAAAATCCCAGAAGGTGTTGACGTTGAGCCAGGGAGAGTTTGTTATTTGGAGAAAAGTATAATATACGGTTTGATACAAGATTATGGAATCATAAATTAGTCAGTGTTTTGGAAGAGATAAAGCTGAAACAATCCATGTATGTTTCTGTCACAAGATGAAAAACAGATAGTTGCAGTCTATGTGGATGATTTATGTATGCTAGGCAAAACTGAGAAAGATGTTCAACAAGTGGGAGATATTTTATTCAAAAATATTCAGGTCACTGACCCAGGTAAACTAAAATTTTTATTATCGCTGTGAATTTAATGGAATCCTTCATCTGTGTCCTCAAATCAAGAAAGATACTTAGAAAAAGTTTTGCAAAAATATGACAGGATGAACTGTAAGACAGCCTCTGTTCCAATGGAGCAAGACCTGACATAACCTATGCGGTGTTATCACAGTTTCTAACTGACCTGACAGAAACTCATATGAAAATGCTTCAACAGATCTTGAAATACCTTGAACCTTGAAGGTTCCATAAGTAAAGGCTTAACCTACAACTTCACAGAAACTCCTGAGATTCATGTTTACAGTGATGCATCATATGGAGACTGTGCAGATACAAGACGATCCAGTTTCATGATGACGTAGTGTCTACTACTGAATCTGAATATATGGCAGTGTCATTGGCTTGTAAACAAAGCAGTTGATTTTTGATCTGACAAACAATAATTCTAAACCAATGTTGTTGTGTGATAACCAAGCTGCAATTGTATATTTGAACCGAGGGGTAAATCACTCATAAAAATCATTGTACACTTTGCTGGGAATATTTTGGAAATACCTAGGAATACTTGGTAATAATCTGGGAATACTTGGAAATCCTTGGAAATAATATGGAAGTATATGGGAATACTCTGGAAGTACATAGCAATAATTTGGAAATACATGGAAGTACTTGTAAATTTATATGATTCTCAACCCCACTTTTAACGTATATTTGGGTATTTTTATTAAAATCTCAAGAATTGCGTTTGTTCTGGTTTTTTTCTGGTTCAGTGTTCCATTTTGTTCAACATTTAACCAGAACACAGAATATACAGGGTTGTCGTTATGTATGGAAACCGTCTGATATTATTCAGAACCGGCTTGAAAAAAAAATTACAATATTTCCTACCTGAGGGTTTTTGGGAATGCCCGATTCAATGGTGATCTTTGCAATGTTGTAAAGTTTCTAAGATGTCGTATGTAACTTGATTTAAATGGATGCCCCGCTTTATTTTTACTGTAATTCATTCAGCGTCTCAACATTAGTAAATCCCCTAGATGCCAAAACTCCATTTTACTTGGTTTTTGAAATATGGCAACGGAGATTTTTTGTTGAAATGTATGGAAACAGTCTTGTATTTCAGAAAAGACTTTAGAAAAATGTACAACATTCCCTACCTGGGGGTTTTTAGAAATGCCCGATTCAATGGTGGTATTTGCAATCTTGCCAAGTTTACCGTTTCTAAGATGCCGTATGTAACTGCCCGTAGAGGCATGATCCATTTAAAAAAAAAAACAAGTTACACAGGGCATCTTATAAACGGTAAACTTGGCAACATTGCAAATACCACCATTGAATTGGGCATTCCCAAAAACCCCCAGATACGGAATATTGTACATTTTGCTAAAGTCTTTTCTGAAATACGAGATTGTTCCCATAGATTTTAACAAAAAATCTGTGTTGCCATATTTTATAAACCAAGTAAAATGTAGTTTTGGCATTAAGGGGTTTAAGTAATGTTGGGACGCTGAATTAATTACAATAAAAATAAAAAGGGGCATCCATTTTAAAAAAATCAAGTTACATACGGCATTTAAGAAACGGTAAACTTGGCAACATTGCAAACACCACCATTGAATCGGGCATTCCCAAAAACCCACAGGTAGGAAATATTGTAAATTTTTTTCAAGCCGGTTCTGAAATATCAGACCGTGTCCATACATAGCGACAACCCTTTATATACCTGAGACCAGAGCTAAAGTCAAAAGTGTACTAATTTTTTTTTGGTCAACTGTCCCAGTTATCCTAATTTTGAGACAACTGAAACAGCGATCCCTATTTTCTTATGCATTCACATAGTAATAATTCTGAGACTACTGGAACATTGTAACGTATATGTATGTGAAGATCCTACGAAATTTTGTTTTTTTGGCTCAAGAAATATGGAAATCATGGGAGATGCAACAAAATGATTACTTAGTGGTGAATAGATAAAGTTTAATAAAAATAGTAGAATGAACAGAAAAAAATAGTATATTATATACCTAGGTAGAGAAGTTGGTCATTATATACCAAGCGCTTTTATCAACCGAGGCGCGAAGCGACGAGGTTTATAATGCGTGAGGTATATAATGACTTTCTCTACCGAGGAATATGTAAATAAAAATTTTTTTACTACTGCTGGTAGAAAATAAAAAATTTGTTCAAAATTTGTGCTCAGAATTATTTCTGTTGAACGCCCTCTTGAAAGTGCTGCCCTCTATCAACAGCTTATGATATCTTCCTATGTACCTACGGAAACCTGTATTTTTCTTAAAATTGATGTATGAAATTGAAATTGAACCAATAGAAACATGACAATATCCTTGCGTCATGACGTCATTTTCATTATTAACCTAGGTATTTTTTCATTATTTTCATTATTAACCTAGGGAAAGAAATTCAATTTTTTCCTAGAAAAGTGGATTGAAAAATGACTATTTCTCAGGTTAGTAGTAAAAAAAATAATAAACCTATTTCCTTTGTAAGAAATTCATATCTCCATGGTGTTTAGCACAGTTGACAGTTTTTCTACTTCATTCATATTTTTCCCCACCACCTTATGCTGCAACCGACAATATACCTTTCCCTATTGTTCCAAATACAAAGAGTCTTTTTGTGGATCTTGGAATGTCATAGAAAACGGCAGCACCGTATATTGTTGTAACGTTTTAGACATCTTCAATTGGTTTTTTCTGGGCCAACTTGGGGTATCTTGCATATTTGCTCTACTTAGAACGAACAAGAATATGTATGTAATTTCAGGTGGAACATAATGTTCCAGTGGGCCATATCATATACGTTCCAGTTGCCTCTGTACGTATTTTTCCTCGGGCAACTGGAACCCAAGCTGTGTTTCCATTACTTAAAATTCTAAGCTTATAGGCCGTCATATAGTAACATATTTAGGTGCCCCATTTTCGCATACAAACCTTGAAAAGTACAACGATTTTGAGTAGGTATTTTTACGAGTGGCTCCTGGGGATAACGTATGGAAAATTCGGTTTTTCGTAACAGAAATGAAAGACGTCCCTGTGCCCATATTTTTTCGAAAGCCGTGTTCAACAAAGGATTAATTAATAAAATCTGGCTTTGTGAAAACAAAAAAGGAGGTGTTGCAGGTGGCTGAAGGTTTGAAATAACGGCGTAATATTATAAGGAAAAATCGAGATTTTGGGCGCCTATCGGAAGGATGAAAATCTAAAACGTCGGCAGCAAGAAAACATATTGGCTTGAGTGTCGCGAATGGAAAAGTAGGTACATTTTAGGGTACCATAAGTAAAATAGAATTTTCCATGTTATCCCCAGGAGCCACTCGTAAATTTCCCTTCATGTAACTCAAAATCGAAGTACTTTGCACTTTCGAGGCTTGTGTGCAAAAATGGGGCACCTAAATCTGTTACTACCTGACGGTCTATAGAAACAAACCTAGCTTCACAACATCTTTCAACAGCGTCGTTCTTTCTACTACATGCAGGATATAAATGAGACACACTTGTAACGAATTTTTATGCGTGGGAAATGCAAATGTCAATAATAAGCCAAAAACTGGCATATGGCCCAGTTACCTCGCTGTTCCACTTCACCAAGTTGACCTTACTTGGAAATACCTAGGAATACGTGGGGAAATACTTGAAAATACTGTCCAAATTTGCGAAGTATTCCCAGAAACTGGAAATCACTGTACGTTTTTTCGTGAGTTGTTGATCCCTCAATTGGAACAAATTATATGATCACATCAACGAAGTAAACACATCCATGTTCATTATCACTACATCCGGAAAAGTATTATGGAAAATGATGTCGTGGTGCAATACATAGCTGCTAAGGAAAATATTGCTGATATTTTGACAAAATCAGTACCTAAGTTTACTTTGGTCCAAGATATCACTTAATCAGGGAGACTTTTGAACATTGACGTTAGATCTTGTATTATTTTATATTTTATTGTTGTTAAACCCATATACCATAGTATTTTTGATAGTCATTTATCGTATTTTGAGTCAAGTCAATAAAAATAAAACTGTAAATCTTTTTGTCATTATTTCGGTTTCTTTTATGTCATTGAAACCTCCTCAATTATGAGAAGCAAAATATTAAAACAAATTTATCGAGACATGTTTTTTTATAAAATTTGTTTTGTCAAGCTCTTATTTGCTCGTTTCTCATGTGTTGAGTCGAGTACAAATAAAAATCGACGCGTTCTCAAGTACAAAAACCTTAAACATTTCTGATTCGCGATTCGAACAATACAAAGTTCATCATACCTCATAATATATTTGAACTATGCAAGTACATAATGTATAAAACGGAGAATTCAGTTTATCGGTCAATCCAAGTATATTTCTGGATTTACTCACCTACATGATAATGTAGACAGTATAGGCAGTGTAGGCATCAGCAGATGACAGAACTGAACTGAAGTCTCTAATCTCATTAGGTAATTTAATGCTTCAGTTGATATTTTCAAATGCATTATTGTGATAAAAAAAAATTGTATTTTTGAAAACAAATATTCAAAAGGGCGACTTTTAGTCTGAACAATAGCTGTTCTAATTGTTTTTGTTTGGTAAATTCTGCATAAATACCAAAAAGATATATAAAATACTGATAAGATTGGTGTCGAACCAGTTTTATTGTGACTCATAGAAGTACGTGGTGCCAAAAAGGATAAAATGATGAAAAAAGTATTCCTAATACTGGTAAGTATCATATTTGTTTTCGTTTTGGCACAAATTTTAAACTTCATTTTTTTAGTGCATCTTGGCATTTTTCCACAACGCAACTTCAACCCTAAATGTTAACACTAAAGAACTCGAAGCATCCCTCAAATCTTTCGACGCAAGAGCGGTAGCCAAAGACATCTCAAACACCATCCTGAAACTACCAGCCCGAGTAATCACCAATTTGGAAACACTTATAAAAAGAAAACGCAACCCCGAAGCTTCAGAAATTATAAATGCTGTCAATTCTGCACTTGATTTGAAGCTGTTCACCATCAAGGATAATTATGTCGAATTAGATGAAATTGAAATTGAGAAATATTTCCGTTTGGGAAAAGCGATTAGACAATTTTATGTGGCCCCTCGAGTAAAGAAAGTATCCACAAAAGATATTACCGCTGTCATAGCAAATAACAATGAAATACAACACAGATTGTCACTTGCTCCTATATTGCTGGACATTTGTGAATCTATATTGATACCACTAGTTGGTAGTATATGCTCCAGCTTGTCACTAATAGTATGGATACTAGTAGGATTCGAAATGTTTTTTACAGCACTCGGTGACCTTGTTCCCGAGTCTCAAGGGATGGACGTAACAATGGCAGTGATAAGGGATTATATTGAAGCCACTCACAAGGAGTTATCGATAGTTCAAGGTGACGATATTTGTGGTGCTTTTGAAGGAGAGTCTATAGGCGGTGTGCAGGAAGTTTTGGTACACTTCTGGGTTGTATTTTCTAGCAGTGTTGACAGCATTTTAGCGCCGATATCACAGCTTATCGGTACTATTATAGCTGGTTTAATGGATTTTTCTCCGTAGGAGGAATTAATTATCTTGTTCTAATTTGATACGTTTTCATTTTAGGAGGATAGCTTGTTATTTTGTTTTTGTAAATAATAATTTAATTTGATTAAATATGGTAGATTGATAAATTCTACTGTTGTTAGAAATTATATTAATTCCTCAGTCTAAGATTCCCATAAATTTACTGGACTAATAAGGACAAATCAAAACAATAAATAAATGTTGTATGTACAGAGGAAAGTTTCAAAAAACCAAATATGGATTTAAAAAAAAGATATTAATAAAAAACACAGTCTGCAGAAATTTTAAAGAAACAGTGTTATTGTAACAGCAACGTTAAGTTATCTGTTTATTCTGCACCTAAAAATAGAGACAGGTATAGATTTTGAGCTCTATAACACAACTGTTGAAATAACAGGAGAGGATACATCATAGGCCTGAATATGTATTTTAGTAATACTTTTGTAGGGAAATTTCTTATTGAAATTCTGAATTTACTCACCTAATGATCATGTGACACATCTTAATAGTGAAAGACTTACCTAGAACAAAAAGAAAATTTCATTTATTAAGTATGTTTTAGTAGAGAATTAGAGAAATATGTAATTTTTAATGCATCTTGCACTTATAATAAATGGAATTTTGAATTTATCGAGGGAAGACCCCCCTTGGATATATATACATATATTTTTGGAAACTTTGAATACTCATACCTTTTTTCTATTATAGATCAAAAGCTGAAAATTTCAGCGATTTTTATCCTGGTAGGCGACTACAAACCCTGCAAAATTTCAACTCAATTGGACTTATAGTTCCTAAGAAAAAATCGCGTTAAGGAATTTGGGGTGAATTTTTGGATTTTTGACTTTTTCTGAGGTCCTTTTTTCATGTATGTTGACTTCAAATCCCACAGTGAATCACTGTGTGAAGTTTCGGGGGTCTTAAATGATCATCTAAAATCGAAATCTCCCCAGCAAATTTTACCATTTTGGAAGGAAGACCTCCCCTTTGGATATGAATTTTTGAGAACATTGAATAATCATAAGTTTTTTCTATCATAGATAGAAAGCTGAAACTTTCAGTGATTCTTATCCCAGTAGAGGACTACAATCCTTGAAAATTTCAGCTCATTTGGACTTATAGTTCCAGAAATAAAATCGTGTTAAGCAATTTGGGGTGATTTATCAATTTTTCAATTTTTCTGAGTTTCATAGATTCCGGCTTCAAATCTCAGAATAATTTATGTATGAAATTTGGCCAGTTTGGGGGATCTCAAAGGACCATTAAGACACAAAATCTCAACAAAATAAAATTTGAAATTTCATCGTTTTAGCACTGAGGTAGCTACCTTATAATTTAGATTTTGGAAAACTTTGAAAGGTTATAACTTCTTTTCTATAGATAGTAGGCTGAAATTTTCAGCGATTTTTTTTCCAGTAGAGGACTACAATCCCTGAAATTTCAGCTCATTTGGACTTATAGCTCCAGAAATAGAATCAAATCAAGTAATTTGGGGTGATTTATCCATTTTTCCACTTTTCTTAGTCCTTTTTTCATAGACTCGGGCTCCAAATCTCAGAATAATTTAGTCTATGGAGTTTGGGGTATCCCAAGGGACCATTAAGACACAAAATCTCAACAAAAAAATTTGAAATATCATCGTTTTAGTACTGAGGTAACTACCTTATGATTTCGATTTTGGATAACTTTGAAAGGGCATAACTTCTTTTCTATCATAGATAGAAAGCTGAAATGTTCCTATTCCGGTAGAGGTCTATAATACAAACCCTGCAAAATTTCAACTCATTTGGACTTATAGCTAGGGTGAATTTTCGGATTTTTAGATTTTCAGGAGTTCCTTTTTTTAAAGATTTCGGCTTCAAATCCCACAATAAATCACTATATGGAGTTTTTGGGGTCCCAAATGATCATGTAGATTCAAAGGCGGTCAATAGGGGCTTGAGCCCCCGTAGTAAATTTGCTATGGGGGCGTGATTTTGGTATTGTATGTTGTGGGTGTAGTGGCTAGGTACATAAATATTGAGATCCTAACCATTTATTTTTATATCAAACTTGTGTATTTTATGTTTTTGTTGTGACGAATTAGCTTGTACCCGGTTAAAGGCCGGGACATATTTATCATGCATTCTTCCGATCCGACTCCGATCATACAATCAGGGTCCTTATTCTTAGAGCAGGGGAGCAGCGTTCCCCAGGAGAACGAGAATTCCGTCTTCGTTACTCATATTAAAGTTGCATATAATTGAGAAAGACAGAACACTCGTTCTCCTGGGAACGCTACTCCCTATTCCAATAATAAGGACCCTGGTTGTATGATCGGAGTTGGATCGGAAGAAGGCATGATAGATGTGTCTCGGCCTTAAGGCAAAACGAATTGATGCTGCCCACTGGCGTAGCCAGGGAAGGGGATGAAGGAGCATTTGCTCCCTTCACCCAAAGGCCTTAAATGTTATTAATAATTCAAAATTAAAATAAACAAAAAAATCAATTCAAGTCCTGGGTAAATACCTAATCAAATACATAGGTACATACCTATATCGTCATATAAGTAATACGTTGTACTATAAATTCTTATCAGAATTTGTTAAAATGACCGCATCCCCGCTTGCTTCCACCATTAGAAGTCCCAAAAATACCGTGACTGCAAGGATTTCTTCCTGCGCATTTACTCCCCCCGAATCCTGGCTACGCCAATGGTACTGCCGAAGCTGAGTATAGCCGAGCTGCCGAAGATGCACGAATTTTGACAATATGCAAGGAAGATCGATGATACAGCGTGGCGATCCTGCAGTGAAATGGGTATCTGTCAACTGGTCCCATTTAAGCCTAGGTATCTAGTAGCCTGGTCCTGTCTGTATAATCAATTCTAATTGTTATGTTAATTTTTGGAGCCCGAGCCCCTATGGAATTTTAAAATTCCAGCGCCTATGTATAGATTCCAAATTTCCACACACAAAAATATGAAATTTTTTCATTTTGGAAGAATTAAAGAGCCTCGGAATTTATTATAAGTCACTAATAATTTTTTAAGAAAGATGTCAAGCCATTGATTTTTTAGGTTTTTGATTCTCAAAACACTCCAATTTCATGTGTATATGATTTTCTACATCTGAAGAAGTGGATGCACATAAAAATAAAGGAATTTCCAGCATTAAATGACATATTTATAAATTTCTCTTGAGAATTTAATTTCCTTAAAGGGATGTAAGTATTCTGCTAATAATCCTTAAACAATATACCAGTTTCCTTTCTTTACTTTTCAACCCAACCAAAATCATTACAGATAATATAGAAATCATTGCGAGACACCACTTAAATATTTATTTTGAAAAATAATCAACATGTTCTGGCATAAAACTTTACCTCTATCTATGGAATGGTACAAAACGTGGCGCAGTAATCTTGGAACCTATTGTCATACGAAATCTCAAATAAATACACAGAGCATATTAAAAATATTATAGGTATTTACTTTTTTTTATTTTAAACCCAAAAGTAATGCGGATAAGTGTTGACCCTCGAGAACCGCAATATCATGGTAAAATCTGTATTTTTCATAGTAGTGGTAAGTAGGTAAATGATTTTATTATTGCATGATCAAACAATGGTTTTGGTGACATTTTAATCCTTGCTTAAGTAAAGAATCAACTTTAATATACTTTAATTGACCTTGAACACAACAATTCAATGATCAATGGAAAATCCTTGACACCACTAATCATCTTTGTTGCCATTTAGCTATTGAAATCGTTTGGATTTATTTCAGGTGTTTTTATGTTCGCCATATGGACAAGAAACCTTCAATCTTAAAATATACTCCTGGACAAAATTATCGCACCACTGCTTATGGAGTTTATGTGCAGTGGTGGTGCGATAATTTTGTCCAGGAGTATATTATACAGCATTAATAAGATATTATTTTTTTTTAGTGTTCCTTTATATATTTGAACCATGCAACACCTGTACAAGAAACCAATCAGTATTTGCCATTTGAAAATGCCATTGAAGCACTCAAAGACATTGACATTGCAGAACAACTTACAAAAATGTTCTTCAAATGTCCCGAGCAAGCATCGGCCAACGTAATTGCATTGATGAACACCAAAAACTATCCAAAAGTTTCTGACGTTTTGAATGCTTTCAACGAAGCCTTCGACATAAACTTATTCATAATCGTCGATGATGATATTCAGCTAGACATTAAAGCATTTGAAATAGTTTTGTACAGAAATTACCAAGAGTACATGAATCCGTTTAATTTAAAACAACCAGAAGAAGCGTTTTTGCTGTTCAAACAAGAAATCAAAATGGTCAGTGACGCTGTGCGGGAAGCTGAAAACAAATTGCCAGTTGAAAGACTTGTAGCTACTTTAGAGGCACAAAGTCGTGCTACTGGCATACGAGAGCGATGGACTTTGAAGCCTACCTGTAAATATTTTGCTACTAAAAATATCCGGAATAATTTAAGTGATGCTTCGAAAGCTTTAACAGTTTTACCATTTGCAGAAAGCCAGAATGGTATTAGTTTTGTGCATCGAGGTGTGGGATTTTTAAAAGAATTTTTATCATATGCGGACGATATAGTTTCATTAACTTCGAATACATGTCGTACAAAGAAAATTCGTGCAGTTGATGAAGATATTGAATCTAATGAGCAATTATTGACAACCAGAGGAGTCATATTGATTATCGAAGATCTTATGGGTTTGATTTCGAGCAGCATGAATACAATTTTGATGTCAATTTTGCACTCTATTCGTGAGGCTGTGGAAACTGTTTTCAATAATATATTAGGCGTTATAGTTTATTTGCAAAATATTATCAGTGCTGTTTATCCTTGCACTTTTTGCACAAGTAAAATTGAATAATACTTGATTGTAAATTTTTATTGAATAAATTGAAAATGGGTTTTTTGTTTTGAAAATAATACATATAAAATGCATAATCTATATATTTCTATATTCTATATACACATTAACTAATTATATACATATTCTAACTTAAGATTTTTTTAAGCTCTAATCTGGAATTACAGTGATGTTATTGAAACTAGACCAAATATCGTCGACAATATAGTTCAACATTTTACTTAAAGCACTCGATATTAAATTCATAAGAACTACCAAAATATGCTAAAATCCTAAAGAAGAATCACGCTTTAAAACCATCAAATCACGACGTCTTCTTGCACTAGGTTTAAATACATCACAAACTTCAAAAACATCACTTGTAAGAAGATCAATGAGGGATTTGATGATTTCTTTCAACTCGTCAACTATATTATCGACTATTTTTGGTATAATCATTAAAAGAGGATTTTCTGATGTTATGGTGAAATTATGCAAATAAGTCAAAATTTGACTTAAAAAGTCAAAGATTGCTTCGTTAAACTCAGATATTCATGCAGATACGTCGCTGATGAGCCAAAGTAAAAAATCTGGAACTATTTGTGAGTTGGTTCGAAATAGGCAGCTCTTAAAGTCCAAATTATCAAGGTTTACATCCTTTTTGTCAGGTTTAAAGGATTCAGCACCCAATAGTGTAAATTTAATTGAACTTGATACGCGTATAAAGGATATAGAGGGTACTTTGCTTTCTGAATACTTATACCATTCTACAATTTGAGTTAGAAGGTACTGATTTTGAGCAGTTTAATGAGAGCGAAAAAGAATCTTTTGAATCAGCATATTATCAAGTTATATCTGATGCTAAGCATCTTTCTTCATTATCTACTCCACCTCTAAATTCCGCTCAGATGGCCAGTGCTTCTACGTCTATTATTGTTACTAGATCGGTTTATGCTAAGCTACCGACTATTGAGCTACCTAAATTTTCTGGCTCTTACGAGAAGTGGCTTAATGAATTTGAAGAGTTATTCTTAATGTCGATTATCTAGATCACGTGCCAAAACTTCATTATTAGCGCCTGTCATTGGAATGCCCTGCGGCTCAGGGGATTGTAGTCCCTTGATTGGGATAAAATTCAGTGAAAGTTTCAGCTTTCTATCTATAATAGAAAAAAAGTTATGACCCTTCAAAGTTTTACAAAATCTAATTCATGATGTAGGTACCTTCTTACTAAAACGATGAAATTTCAATTTTTTTTTTGTCGAGGTTTTGTATCCTAATGGTCAGTCAACATACCCCAAACTCCATACCCTGAATAATTCTCAGATTTGAAGCCGAAATCTATGAAAAAAGGCACTCAGAAAAATTGAAAAATTGAAAAATTGATAAATCACCCCAAATTGCTTAACACGATTTTATCTCAGGAACTAAAAGTGCAAATGAGCTGAATCTATCTATGAAAAAAGGTACTCAGAAAAATTGAAAACTTGATAATCACCCCAAAATTCAGTGAAAGTTTCAGCTTTCCATCTATAACAGAAAAAAAGTTATGACCTTTCAAAGTTTTCCAAAATCTAAATCATAAGGTACCTTCTTACTAAAACGATGAAATTTCAATTTTTTTTTGTCGAGATTTTGTATCCTAATGGTCAATCAACATACCCCAAACTCCATACACTAAATTATTCGCAGATTTGAAGCCGAAATCTATGAAAAAAGGCACTCAGAAAAATTGAAAAATTGATAAATCCCCCAAATTGCTTAACACGATTTTATCTCAGGAACTATAAGTGCAAATGAGCTGAAATTTTCAGGGATTGTAGTCCCTTGATTGGGATAAAATTCAGTAAAAGTTTCAGCTTTCTATCTATAATAGAAAAAAAGTTATCACCTTTCAAAGTTTTCCAAAATCTAAATCATATAAGGTAGGTACCTTCTTACTAAAACCATGAAATTTCAAATTTTTTTCTGTCGAGATTTTGTATCCCAATGGTCAATCAACATACCCCAAACTCAATTTACTAAATTATTCTCAGATTTGAAGCCGAAATCTATGAAAAAAGGCACCACTCAGAAAAATTGAAAAATTGATAAATCACCCCAAATTGCTTAACACGATTTTATCTCAGGAACTATAAATGCAAATGAGCTGAAATTTTCAGGGATTGTAGTCACTTGATTGGGATGAAATTCAGTAAAAGTTTCAGCTTTCTATCTATAATAGAAAAAAAGTTATCACCTTTCAAAGTTTTCCAAAATCTAAATCATAAGGTAGGTACCTTCTTACTAAAACGATGAAATTTTTTTTTGTCAAGATTTTGTATCCTAATGGTCAATCAACATACCCCAAACTCCATACACTAAATTATTTTCAGATTTGAAGCCGAAATCTATGAAAAATGGCACTCAGAAAAATTGAAAAATTGATAAATCACCCCAAATTGCTTAACACGATTTTATCTCAGGAACTATAAATGCAAATGAGCTGAAATTTTCAGGGATTGTAGTCCCTTGATTGGGATGAAATTCAGTAAAAGTTTCAGCTTTCTATCTATAATAGAAAAAAAGTTATCACCTTTCAAAGTTTTCCAAAATCTAAATCATAAGGTAGGTACCTTCTTACTAAAACGATGAAATTTTTTTCTGTCGAGATTTTGTATCCCAATGGTCAATCAACATACCCCAAACTCAATTTACTAAATTATTCTCAGATTTGAAGCCGAAATCTATGAAAAAAGGCACTCAGAAAAATTGAAAAATTGATAAATCACCCCAAATTGCTTAACACGATTTTATCTCAGGAACTATAAATGCAAATGAGCTGAAATTTTCAGGGATTGTAGTCACTTGATTGGGATGAAATTCAGTAAAAGTTTCAGCTTTCTATCTATAATAGAAAAAAAGTTATCACCTTTCAAAGTTTTCCAAAATCTAAATCATAAGGTAGGTACCTTCTTACTAAAACGATGAAATTTTTTTTTGTCAAGATTTTGTATCCTAATGGTCAATCAACATACCCCAAACTCCATACACTAAATTATTTTCAGATTTGAAGCCGAAATCTATGAAAAATGGCACTCAGAAAAATTGAAAAATTGATAAATCACCCCAAATTGCTTAACACGATTTTATCTCAGGAACTATAAATGCAAATGAGCTGAAATTTTCAGGGATTGTAGTCCCTTGATTGGGATGAAATTCAGTAAAAGTTTCAGTTTTCTATCTATAATAGAAAAAAAGTTATCACCTTTCAAAGTTTTCCAAAATCTAAATCATAAGGTAGGTACCTTCTTACTAAAACGATGAAATTTTTTTCTGTCGAGATTTTGTATCCCAATGGTCAATCAACATACCCCAAACTCAATTTACTAAATTATTCTCAGATTTGAAGCCGAAATCTATGAAAAAAGGCACTCAGAAAAATTGAAAAATTGATAAATCACCCCAAATTGCTTAACACGATTTTATCTCAGGAACTATAAATGCAAATGAGCTGAAATTTTCAGGGATTGTAGTCACTTGATTGGGATAAAATTCAGTAAAAGTTTCAGCTTTCTATCTATAATAGAAAAAAAGTTATCACCTTTCAAAGTTTTCCAAAATCTAAATCATAAGGTAGGTACCTTCTTACTAAAACGATGAAATTTTTTTCTGTCGAGATTTTGTATCCCAATGGTCAATCAACATACCCCAAACTCAATTTACTAAATTATTCTCAGATTTGAAGCCGAAATCTATGAAAAAAGGCACTCAGAAAAATTGAAAAATTGATAAATCACCCCAAATTGCTTAACACGATTTTATCTCAGGAACTATAAATGCAAATGAGCTGAAATTTTCAGGGATTGTAGTCACTTGATTGGGATAAAATTCAGTAAAAGTTTCAGCTTTCTATCTATAATAGAAAAAAAGTTATCACCTTTCAAAGTTTTCCAAAATCTAAATCATAAGGTAGGTACCTTCTTACTAAAACGATGAAATTTTTTTCTGTCGAGATTTTGTATCCCAATGGTCAATCAACATACCCCAAACTCAATTTACTAAATTATTCTCAGATTTGAAGCCGAAATCTATGAAAAATGGCACTCAGAAAAATTGAAAAATTGATAAATCACCCCAAATTGCTTAACACGATTTTATCTCAGGAACTATAAATGCAAATGAGCTGAAATTTTCAGGGATTGTAGTCACTTGATTGGGATAAAATTCAGTAAAAGTTTCAGCTTTCTATCTATAATAGAAAAAAAGTTATCACCTTTCAAAGTTTTCCAAAATCTAAATCATATAAGGTAGGTACCTTCTTACTAAAACCATGAAATTTCAAATTTTTTTCTGTCGAGATTTTGTATCCCAATGGTCAATCAACATACCCCAAACTCAATTTACTAAATTATTCTCAGATTTGAAGCCGAAATCTATGAAAAAAGGCACTCAGAAAAATTGAAAAATTGATAAATCACCCCAAATTGCTTAACACGATTTTATCTCAGGAACTATAAATGCAAATGAGCTGAAATTTTCAGGGATTGTAGTCCCTTGATTGGGATAAAATTCAGTAAAAGTTTCAGCTTTCTATCTATAATAGAAAAAAAGTTATCACCTTTCAAAGTTTTCCAAAATCTAAATCATAAGGTAGGTACCTTCTTACTAAAACGATGAAATTTCAAATTTTTTTTTGTCGAGATTTTGTATTCTAATGGTCAATCAACATACCCCAAACTTCATACATTAAATTATTCTCAGATTTGAAGCCGAAATCTATGAAAAGAGGCACTCAGAAAAATTGAAAAACTGATAAATCACCCCAAATTGCTCAACACGATTTTATCTCAGGAACTATAAGTGCAAATGAGCTGAAATTTTCAGGGATTGTAGTCACTTGATTGGGATAAAATTCAGTAAAAGTTTCAGCTTTCTATCTATAATAGAAAAAAAGTTATCACCTTTCAAAGTTTTCCAAAATCTAAATCATAAGGTAGGTACCTTCTTACTAAAACGATGAAATTTCAAATTTTTTTTTGTCGAGATTTTGTATTCTAATGGTCAATCAACATACCCCAAACTTCATACATTAAATTATTCTCAGATTTGAAGCCGAAATCTATGAAAAGAGGCACTCAGAAAAATTGAAAAACTGATAAATCACCCCAAATTGCTCAACACGATTTTATCTCAGGAACTATAAGTGCAAATGAGCTGAAATTTTCAGGGATTGTAGTCACTTGATTGGGATAAAATTCAGTAAAAGTTTCAGCTTTCTATCTATAATAGAAAAAAAGTTATCACCTTTCAAAGTTTTCCAAAATCTAAATCATATAAGGTAGGTACCTTCTTACTAAAACCATGAAATTTCAAATTTTTTTCTGTCGAGATTTTGTATCCCAATGGTCAATCAACATACCCCAAACTCAATTTACTAAATTATTCTCAGATTTGAAGCCGAAATCTATGAAAAAAGGCACCACTCAGAAAAATTGAAAAATTGATAAATCACCCCAAATTGCTTAACACGATTTTATCTCAGGAACTATAAATGCAAATGAGCTGAAATTTTCAGGGATTGTAGTCACTTGATTGGGATGAAATTCAGTAAAAGTTTCAGCTTTCTATCTATAATAGAAAAAAAGTTATCACCTTTCAAAGTTTTCCAAAATCTAAATCATAAGGTAGGTACCTTCTTACTAAAACGATGAAATTTTTTTTTGTCAAGATTTTGTATCCTAATGATCAATCAACATACCCCAAACTCCATACACTAAATTATTTTCAGATTTGAAGCCGAAATCTATGAAAAATGGCACTCAGAAAAATTGAAAAATTGATAAATCACCCCAAATTGCTTAACACGATTTTATCTCAGGAACTATAAATGCAAATGAGCTGAAATTTTCAGGGATTGTAGTCACTTGATTGGGATAAAATTTAGTAAAAGTTTCAGCTTTCTATCTATAATAGAAAAAAAGTTATCACCTTTCAAAGTTTTCCAAAATCTAAATCATATAAGGTAGGTACCTTCTTACTAAAACCATGAAATTTCAAATTTTTTTCTGTCGAGATTTTGTATCCCAATGGTCAATCAACATACCCCAAACTCAATTTACTAAATTATTCTCAGATTTGAAGCCGAAATCTATGAAAAAAGGCACTCAGAAAAATTGAAAAATTGATAAATCACCCCAAATTGCTTAACACGATTTTATCTCAGGAACTATAAATGCAAATGAGCTGAAATTTTCAGGGATTGTAGTCCCTTGATTGGGATAAAATTCAGTGAAAGTTTCAGCTTTCTATCTATAATAGAAAAAAAGTTATCACCTTTCAAAGTTTTCCAAAATCTAAATCATAAGGTAGGTACCTTCTTACTAAAACGATGAAATTTCAAATTTTTTTTTGTCAAGATTTTGTATCCTAATGGTCAATCAACATACCCCAAACTCCATACACTAAATTATTTTCAGATTTGAAGCCGAAATCTATGAAAAATGGCACTCAGAAAAATTGAAAAATTGATAAATCACCCCAAATTGCTTAACACGATTTTATCTCAGGAACTATAAATGCAAATGAGCTGAAATTTTCAGGGATTGTAGTCCCTTGATTGGGATAAAATTCAGTGAAAGTTTCAGCTTTCTATCTATAATAAAAAAAAAGTTATCACCTTTCAAAGTTTTCTAAAATCTAAATCACAAGGTAGGTACCTTCTTACTAAAACGATGAAATTTAAATTTTTTTTTTCTCGAGATTTTGTATCCTAATGGTCAATCAACATACCCCAAACTTCATACACTAAATTATTCTCAGATTTGAAATCTATGAAAAATTGAAAAATTGATAAATCACCCCAGTTATTAGGCATACAAAAATACTGGACAATCTGGAATCCAAGTAAATATTTCTTATTTCAAACTTTGTCCTGACTTAATATAACAATAAACAGTATCTTGATTGATTCTGATTTCAATGTGCATCCTATCAAAACTCACCGCAGATATTTTACAGAAATAATCTTGGAGTGAGGAAAACACAAGTTAAAAATAAATTATAATATTGCGACTCATGGTTCTTTGAATAAATAAAAAGTTAACTAATTTATTTGCCTAAGTCTTTTCAAATGTCCCAAATATTAACACAATAACCTTCATGATTCAGAATACTATTTAGGAAAAAATAATACGTAATAGTTAGTTTAATTAATCCCATGAGCCTCTGAACAAACTACTATTGTTTAAAAAAGTATAAAACTTTCAACCAAAAAAGCAAGCAACTCAAAAATAACTATTCTTTCAAATTGTTAGTTAATACCAAGATGATCAAGTTTGTGATTTTAGCTGTGGTAAGTAATGACTCTGATATAGCATGTATTATTTGACCATATTTTTTCTCTTATAACAGTGTGGGTTGATGTGCCTTACTCAGGCAACACCAGCAAAATTGTCCAAAGAGTTTGGCACTGCTCAAGAAATCGAAAGGCAACAAGCCTTGAAAGAACTCCAAAACTTTGACTTTGTTGGTGCCTTTGTAAAACTGGTGCTGAAATCTCCTGAACAAGCTGCAGCCAATGTAAATGAACTTTTGACTAAGAACAACAACGCCTTGGCTGAAGAAGTTTTGGACGCTTTCAATGCTGGTTTAAACGCAAGGATCTTTGTCATCAATGGAGATTACATTGAAATTGACAGAGCCGCCTTTGGAAGAATGATTTTTGAAAATACTCGTGGTTTTGCTCAAGTATTTTATCCTAGTCTCCAACAACGTTCAGCTCATAGTGTGTATGAAAGAAAAGTTCAAGAGTATGTTGATGTAATTGAAGTTAAACAACCTTTGGAACAGTTTAATGCAATTTTAACAACAGAAAGACAAATTGGTGTTAAGGCAGTCACACTGAGTAGTATTTTAAATTCTATCATTTCTTCTATTTCCTCAGTTGTTTCTAATATTCTCAGCACGGTGGCTTCCTTAATTGTAAACCTTTTGACAGCAATTGTAAGTCTTATAAATAACGTTTTAGCTTGGCTACAAACTAGAATTTCATTGCTGTTCACCCTGTTGAACCCAATTGGAAAATTAATCAATAATATCCTTCAACAAATTATTAATTTGCTTTCAAATCTTATTACTACTGCAACTTCAAGGAAACGCCGTGACGTTTCTGAGGTAATTGATTTCAAAGCCACTGGAATTGTTAGCACAGTTGGAACATTGTTGAACAATATTGCGGAAGCTTTGGTTTCGATTATAAAAGAACTAGGAGGTGATATAATTAGTGTGGTTAAGACTGTAGTAAACTCATTATTCAGTACTATTACGAGTGTGGGAACTGCCCTTAATACCCTTTTGAATTTTGGTAATAGTACTAGTTGAATATGTAATAAAATCTAATGTTGTAATTTGAAGAAATGTCATCAAATAAAATATATAGGTAGTTGATTAAATCCTACTTAGTTGTTTTATTTGTTTTAGCTCTGACGATATGAAAATTTTGATTATAGTGTATTAAAACATTATGTCAAAAATTTACCAATTCAATCATCAGAGAGAAAGTTTCTGGCTGATTGACAGTCTCTTTCTCTCACTAATCTAGTTTTCGCACTTATATTCGTTTCGATTTTCTAAATGGAATTTTAGAAAAGTTTTTAGAACATATAGTTGGTAGTCAGGACTAGGAGTCGAACATAGTCAGTAAAAAGAGTTTTTGTAGTTGAATAGCTGAATTTAGTCGAGAAAGTTTTAAATATTAACGTACTAAAAAAGTACCGTCATTATATTGTCAACAAGCAAAACTCCTCTGGCCTCAGGACTCCACCCAGTGCAATTATCTCTTTTGGGAAAACCCCTCTAGGTGTTTTCAGTCGTCGTGTCGTCCAGTGCAATTACCTCTTTTGGGAAAGCCCCTCTGGTCCTGGACGACCCTTCACTTTATAACGAATCGCACCTAACCTAGGTTTGTGTTTTTCAGATAGCTCCCCTGTCCCCTATCAGGCAATCTAATCGATCTTTCAAAATAAAAATTCAATATGGCGTGGCGGCCAAGCAAGTTTATTTTGAATATGTGTTTTTATGCGTATTTTAATTATTTTGCTTCGAGTTTTGCTTGCAACTTTGACTTCGATTATTTAATAAAATATTTGTTGAATAGGTATGTAAACTCTTTAACACGATTTTATCTCAGGAACTATAAGTCCAAATGAGTTGAAATTTTCAGGGATTGACATCCTTTACTGGAATAAGAATCGCTGAAAATTTCAGCTTTCTATCTATAATAGAAAAAAAGTTATGATCTTTCAAAGTTTTCCAAAATCTAAATCATAAAGTAGCTATCTTCTTACTAAAACGATGAAATTTCAATTTTTTTTTGTTGAGATTTTGTGTCCTAATGGTCATTTGATATCCCCCGAACTCTATACACTAAGTTATTTCCAGATTTGAACCCGAAATCTATGAAAAAAGGCACTCAGAAAAATTGAAAAATTGATAAATCACCCCAAATTGCTTAACACGATTTTATCTCAGGAACTATAAGTCCAAATGAGTTGAAATTTTCAGGGATTGAAATCCTCTACTGAAATAAGAATCGCTGAAAATTTCAGCTTTCTATCTATAATAGAAAAAAAGTTATGACCTTTCAAAGTTATCCAAAATCTAAATCATAAGGCCTTCTTACTAAAATGATGAAATTTCAAATTTTCTTGAGATTTTGTGTCCTAATGGTCATTTGATGTCCCCCGAACTCTATACACTAAATTATTCCCAGATTTGAAGCCGAAATCTACGAAAAAAGGCACTCAGAAAAATTGAAAAATTGATAAATCACCCCAAATTGCTCAACATGATTTTATCTCAGGAACTATAAGTCCAAATGAGTTGAAATTTTCAGGGATTAATGGCCATTTCCACCAACTATTTTAGGGGAGCCTCAACGATAAGTATGCCCTAAACTGACATTTCTCCATTGAAAACTGTCATTTTGAAGAATACCTAACGTTAAGGGTCCCCTAAAATAGTTGGTGGAAACGGCCATAAGTCCTCTACTGGAATAAAAATTGTTGAAAATTTCAGCTTTCTATCTATAATAAAAAAAAAGTTATGACCTTTCAAAGTTTTCCAAAATCTAAATCATAAGGTAGGTACCTTCTTACTAAAACGATGAAATTTCATATTTTTTTGGTTGAGATTTTGTGTCTTAATGGTCATTTGATATTAGGCGGGCAGCAGAGGCCTATTTACGTTCACAAACCCAATATTTTGGTATAACTTATTGAAACCCACACCATCTTATTTATTAGGTCATAATAAAAGAAAAATGTATATACGGCGACTTTTAGTTTTGGTCGAGACAAAAGTTGCGCCGCAAAAACAGAAAAATGAGGTTCAAAAATCGTACCATCAATATTTTTTCTACGAGCGTACGGGAAAAGCCCATTTTTCGCACGCCTTAGTGCGGAAGAAACAAAAAATCCACACTAGTATGTGTAAAAAAAAATCCGCAAACCAATGCGTGCGAAAAACGGCGTTTTTCTCACGCTTGTAGGAAAAATTGTTTTATCTAATTTTTTCACACTTATTAGGAATATAACTACTTATTTCCTACAAGCCGTGCAAAAAAGTGTAAATTGTCGCAGCAGTGCGAAAAGCTCATTTCCGTAAAGAAAATGACTACTTTCCGCACTAATGCGCAATATTCTCACTGCACGTGTTGGATAAATAGGTAACTATTAAGTTTCAATAATGCATAATTATAATATTTTATCCTTGATACATAGACCGTCAGCTAATGACATATTTTGCTGACCGATTTTCTCTTTTCGGGGATTGCAAGCATTGAAAATTACATCAGTGCTGATATTTTTCAAAAAACCTCGGACACGTCGATTTTTGGTTTTAGTGGCCGTATTTTTGATGATAATATCATGTATACAGGGTTGGGTTACCCTGTATACAACAAGTTATGACAGCTAACTTTATTTTTTTAAATGGAAACTCCAATTTTTCAATTCATTTTCAAATTCTACGTTTTACTCTGAACCTATTGTATGTATCATGTCCTCATGTCCTATACCTATCTTCAACTTTTTCGGAAATATTGACAGTGGAAAATTGACTTTTTGAAAGCAAACCCGATCTTACATTCTTTTCTTAGTTTTCCATAAACTATCATTTAACGCCAACTTTGAATTTAACCGGAGAATAAATTTGACTTGAATTTTCAATCATGGATTAAATTCAAAGTTGGCGTCAAATGATAGTTTATGGAAAACTAATGGCGTTTCCGATTAGTACCTAGTGTTTTTTTTTTTAATTTCTGTCTTTTTTTTTACAGGTCGAATAAAAGGATGCAAATCAAATACACTCAATGCGCACTGAAATCACCAATCGGAAACGCCATAAGACAAGAATGTATGATCGGTTTTGCTCTAAAATTAACCGTCTAGGTTTTACAGGCTGTCTAAAATCAAAATTGCAATGAGTGAATTTTCAACTGTCAATATTTTCGAAACAGTTGAAAATAGGTATAGAACATGATACATAAAATATATAGGTTCAGAAATTAACGTAGAATTTGAAAATGGAATAAGAAATTGTTGTTTTTATTCAAAAAAATAAAGTTAGCTGCTATAACTTGATTTTGGGTCACCCTGTATATCAAAAAAACGGGCACTAAAATCAGCAATCGTATATGTCCGAGGTTTTTTGAAGAATAACAATCCTGTATATTTACGGATTTTATTAACAATCCTGTATATTTACGGATTTTATTCCAACCTTTACGTGCTCACTGTATAATGTTAATATGTTATAAAATGCCATGAAAGATGTATTGAGAAAATAATTTATTCTTTACTGCAAAAGGAAAATAAATTTTCCATATGCCTAGCAGACGTCCGGTTGCTACATTTTAATTTTTTGATCTCAGCACTGACATAATTAATTCTCAGTGGTTGAAATCTCCGAAAAGAGAAAATCGGTCAGCAAAATCTGTCATTAGCTGACGGTTTATGAAAGCTATACATGTATAAAGAAAATTATATTCACCTCCAATTTACCTAATCTTCTAACTGATTATTGTCCAGGTTATCTAATAATTCTTCAGCTACATTTTGGTAGTCCATGCCCACATTTTCACTCGGGGGTGCAAAACATTACAGAAATTTGGGCGCGGGCCTCTTTGATGTGATTTGCAGGCGTTATTATTATTTGTAGACCGAACAATAATTGAGACAAAATGAAGCTAATGAAATTCCGCAGTTTTTCGTCTAAAGAAAAAAATTATATCTCAACAAACATCGAAGTTAGAGCAGTTTGAAGATAATTAAATATTTATTCTCTTTTAGATTGAATGATAAAAGCTATTTCTTTTTGTCTGAGAAATGAAAAAAATCCGAAATGTTACATGTCATAATAAAGAGCAATGAAAACTCTTTAGAATCGTGAAATCATTACCCCTATGACTTAATTAGTTTTTTAGTAATTGGGCTTTAAAAACAGAACCTATCAATTGACCATTTTTCTTCTTTTTCTTGAATAACTTTTATCTCAACCAAAACTAAAAGTCGCCATATAAGAATTTTTCGTAGAAAATGTTATAACTTACGATATTTTCTAGGTTTTATAAAGTTATACCGAAATATTGGGTTCATCAATAAAACTGCGTCTTTAGAACGCTTGACCGCCCGCCTATATCCCCCGAACTCTATACACTAAATTATTCCTAGATTTGAAGCCGAAATCTACGAATAAAGGCACTCAGCAAAATTGAAAAATTGATAAACCACCCCAAATTGCTTAAGTCTGACAGAAGTTACATATTTTTTTGTGTTTTTTGACCCATGTGTGGCTGCCACGCCATCTTGAATATGACGTGGTATGGATTACCCATAACCCAATAGAAGAGGCACTATGTACCATAGAGCCATCCTTTGGTAATTACTATTACCTTATTCTGCAATATATCTTAAACTAAATACCAAGCAAATCTCTATCCTGCTGACCCTACGCTACGTACCCCACCACGACAGTATAAAGTTGTGACAATATTATACAATATGTTTAAAGTTTCATGAGACAATTCGTTAAAAAAGCTTATAACTAAGAGTGGGTGGTCCAAGAATATTATTTGGAATCATGAGAGTGCACATGTTAATAAGGACCTATCATCAGGCAGCTTTCCTCTTGCAAAAAAGCAAGGTGAGGAATGATTTACTACCAATGACCTTTATAACGCTATAAGCACCACATATTGAATAAGACACATGAAACAACTAACAGCTATTTAATCAAATATTTAATTTTCTTTTCATACATTTTACCAATACTATTCTATTTAACTAGAACTCATAAAAGATTATTAAGAGTTGTCTCCACATTAGAAATAATAGTGGCCAAAAAGTTTGTGACATTTGTAAGTAAACTAACTACGCCATCTCCAACACCTCCAATAAGGGAAGCCAAAGTATTTGCAACATAGCTCAACAGCGTTGTAATTATGTTTTTGTTAGCGGTTGTCGATTCTGTAACCGCAGCAACCTCGCGGCGTTTTCTTGAAGTTACAGTCTCGGTTGTAGTGGTAATAAGATTCGAAAGCAAATTAATTATTTGGTTAAGGATACTATTGATTAATGATCCAATTGGGTTCAATAGGGTGTACACCAATGAGATTCTAGTTTTTAACCAAGCTAAAACGTTATTTACGAGACTTACAATTGATTTCAAAAGGTTAACAATTAAAGAGGCCACTGTGCTAAGAAGATTAGAAACAACTGAGGAAATAGAAGAAGTGATAGAATTTAAAATACCACCCAATGAGATTGCTCTAACATCAATTTGTTGTCTATCAGCCATTAAAACTGCATTAAACTCTTCTAGAGGTTGTTTAAATTCAATTGCACTAACATACTCTTGGAGTTTCCTTTGGTAAATACCATTAGCTGAACGCTGTTGGAGACTAGGGAAAAATACTTGAGCAAAACTGCGAGTATTCTCAAATAACATCCTTTCAAAAGCAGTTCTGTCAATTTCAATATAATCTCCATTTATGACAAAAATCCTTGCGTTTAAGCCAGCATTGAAGGCGTCTAAAACTGCTTCAGCTCCGGCATTGTTGTTCTTAGTCAACAGTTCAATGACATTGGCTGCAGCTCGCTCGGGAGATTTCAGCACAAGTTTCACAAAGGCACCAGTAAAGTCAAAGTTCTGGAGTTCTTTTAAGGCATGTTGCCTTTCAATTTCTTGAGCAGTGCCAAGCTCTTTAGATAGTTTTGCCGGTGTTGCCTGAGTAAGGCACATCAACCCACACTGTAATAGGAAAAAAATAGAATCAAATAATAAAAACTTATTAATTATTACTTACCAAAGCTAAAATCACAAACTTGATCATCTTGTTACTGATACGAAAATGAGTTTCTGAGTACAAAAATTTTATACTTTTATACAATAATGTTGTTGACTTTAAAATATCTTCAAAGGCTCATGGGATTAATAAGCTTACTATTTTTTAAAAGAATATTTTGAATGATGAAGACAATTGTTTTCCTATTTGGAATATTTGCAAAGACTTATAGATCAAAGTTAAAATTCCTGGGAACCATTCAAGTTTATACATTTTTTCAATAGAAAACAGGATAAGAACTGTTACTGTATTAAGTATAACTACAGAAAGGATCTTTAAAAGAAAACTAAAAGCCCTCTTAATCAACTTGGAACCATATAGTATGGATGACTACTTACGTAGATAGTATTAAGTAGTGAATAGGTTAAAGATGTCTAGTTGTTGATAGGACATTGGTTTCAGATAATTTAGTAATCTTATGTTAAGAAGTTACCACTTGGTACTTTAGTAGTAGTAAGTGGTAAATAAATAATTAATGACGATATTTCACTTCATATTTTGTATATTTTTTTATATATAATGTAATGTGAAATAAATAAAATAAATAAAAAAAATAAAAAAATTTACCCACAATTTTAATTTTTGGTTGTGTAATTTTTTTGGTAAAAACATTTAGTTTACATTTGTAAGATCTTTGTCAACTGTTTGGATTCTAGGTGCTTACTTATTTTAACAGAAATTGTTTGAATCGAAACCATATCCATCACCAATGATGGATTTGCGATGCATACAGGTTTTATATGGGAAATTTAATTGAAGATGAAATCTATGAAAATAAGAAAAGTAGTTTGAAAATATTATCTCGGAAATGCTGTTTTTAGAGTTATAGAGTTAGGGAGTGATTCAGAACTGTTGAGAGTTACTTCAAATGCAACGGAAGTCACATAAGAAGATTTTAAAGCATTGTAAATACTTTTTAAAAGGTTTTAAAAGTCTAGAACAAGTAAGAGTGACTTTGGATGGATCATAAGATGATTCAGATATTTTTGAAGTTACTCTGGACAATTTCCAGTAAGTGTTTCGGCGATTGGACTAGTTCAGACTGTTGAAAGTGACTTCAAATGCATCCGAAGTCACTTAAGCAGATTTTGAAGAAGTGGAGCAACTTTTTTAGTTATTATCTTGTTGAATTCACTTACAGGATCATAGTAGATCTTCAGACATCAAAGTGCCACAAAGAATATATTTTATCTGAGAGGATTTTGAAATTGCTAAGAAATGGCATATCAAAAGCGTACATTTCGTTTATTCGGGGAAGGTAGTACAAATATGTAAATAAAAACCTCCATGTTAATTTCAATAACCAAATATATATTCTCTGGATACTTGTAGTTACAATCAAGCCAACAAAAAAAAATACAAAAATTCAATAAATAGATTATTTTATTGTCTTCAACAACAAGCATAAAATTTCAAAAACTCACAAATACTGTTCAATTGAAGCAATAACAGAAGCCAACAACGTTGCCAGCACACCTTCAATATAAGTCTGCAGCCTACTAACCATTGAAGTAGCCCCTTTGACCAAGAACGGTTTCAATACACTAGAAATTGCATTCCATATAAGGTTCAAAACATTTGTTGCTATAGAACTAATGCTTCTAGGACTAACATTCTTCAAAACGCCAACATCGCGACGCCTCCTTGAAGAGCCCAATAACGTATCGCACAAAATACTTCCGACAGATTCGTTTAAACTTTCCACCAAACTCAAAGCGTGACTAGCTAAACTTAGTAAAAATCCAACAAGCGTAGTGAGTACAGCATTAGTTGAACCCGCAACAGAAATACTTGAAAGCTGAGTCTCAGCTTTATTAATTGCTGTACCAATCAGCGTACTAACATGGTTCATAGTTGCGTTGCAAATTTCATATTGCAAACCGGTCAAGAAGCCAGCTTTTGGTTGCACTTTCGGTGCAGAGACAGCGCCACTCAAAACACCAACAGGTATCTTGCTTTGTTCGATAACAGGCGGCAGTTGCTTGATGGTGTCTTTGATTTGCTTTTGGAGCACAAGGTAAGTCATCAGTTGTTGGACTTTGTCGTTGGGGAATAGAATTTTTGTTACTTCTTTGGCTAGGTTTAGTAGAGCTTTTTCCAGTACAGCTGGATCGACTTTAACAAAGCCTTCATTAACTACCAGTAGATTGTAGCTGAGGCCAGTGTTGAATGTGCTTATTAGGTCTGGGACGTTCAATACGGCACTTCTAGTTAAAAGATTGTCAACATTTTCGATTGCTTGAGATGTCGATTGGAAAAAAAGGCTGACAAATTGTTTGTGGATGTCGGAATACTCGGAGAAAGTTTGTACATTAGCTTCTTTTGTTAATTGGTTAGAGGTCACTTGGCTGAAGCATGCCAATGAAAACTACAACAAAATCAATACTGGTTAACAACAGTTAGAGCAGATAGATAAATTATTGTTTTTGGGTACTTACTAAAATCAAAAACGTAATCCTAGCCATTTTGCATCAAAATTTTAACATGCCCGTTTGACCCAACAACAACTTTTATATCTTTAAATTGAATAAGGTCTTTCCAAGAATTCAAGACCGAAACTACATAAACAACTTCTTTATTTTGCAAAATGTATATTATATATTATGGTGATTTTTAATATTTGTTGAGGGTTTTTTGTAACAATGGAAAAGCAAACACAATAATCTTAGAACAATGAGGTTTTGAGGATTAGATGCTGTCACTTTCGTTCTGGCTCTTGGATTTTTTCACTTCTCTTGACGCAGTTTGGGAGTGATGTTTTTCTTGGAGATATTGTGCAATTACAAATGGAAATTAAGAAGGTACTTTTTCGCTCTGGGCAAATAAACACCAAAGGGTGTTTATAGTGTTGAAAAATTAAGCATACAAATACTGAATTCATGTAACACTAGGTTAAGAGGAGAGGAAGGAGTATGCTTATCCTATTCACAAGTCAGGCAGCAAGAATAATGTAACAAAGTATAGGGCTCGGTATAGGGTGTCCAAGACTCGATGGTTTTTGGGGGGTTTCGGGTATTTCTAAAGGAGTTGGAAAAGATCTGAACTCCACTTGCAAGCCTCGATTTTCAAGAGAAATTGACTGGTGAAAACCGCATCTCGATATCTCGAGTCGTTTTTATGCTACAAGGGGTTTTTGAAAAGTTTGGAGTTTGGCAGGGGGTCTATAACTTTTTGTAGCTTAAAAATGAATCAAGATATCCATATCGAGATACAGGTTTCACCGGTCAACTTCTCTTGAAAATCGAGGCTCGCAAGTGGGGGTCAGATTTTTTCCAACTCCTCTAGAAATACCAAAGACCCGCCAAACCATCGAATCTTGGACACATTGTACAAACCTATCACCATCCTGTGTGCAATTGCTAAATTACCTGAGCAGTGCATTGTATTGAAAAAATTCTTTTAAAAATATCAGATTGTGATCAGTCAACAGCACTGTTTCACAGCTGGTAGATCCATTGACACGAACTCTTTCTCTTCACAAATTTTATAAATTCGTCATTTGATAACAATGCAGAAACTCATGCAATATATACTGATTTCCGTAAAGCCTTTGATAAGGTATCACAACATCCTTCAGTCAAAGTTTTCAAATTATGACGTTTGTAGACCTTTACTTTCATGGATGAAATCTTACCTTACTAACGAATGCAACAAGTTAAGATTCATGGCTAGCTTTCTTCTTTTTTCTGTGCATCGTCTAGGGTAGCCCAACACAAATTTAGCAAGTTTGCAAGGTACAACTAGTTTCTCATATAAAGTATTATTTTTAAAACGACCACCATGTACAAAAATTCCCTGGTTCGGTTTATGCTTTTACCTCAAGTTTTTCTGTGCAACCTTACATTTGTGCGTTTTTTTTTGAAACTTATCAAATGATAATGGTAGACAAAAAGCCTAGATTATTTTATTATAAAAGAAATATATACTAAATATTTGCATTTGTTGCCAGCCTTCAATGAAGGTTAAAAAAATAGGCCAGAGATTAATTATTGAAAAGATAATATTGTACTCAGCGCTTGAAAGAAAACCAAAATGATAATCAGTTTGTATGTCCTAACCAGAACATTGAAAATTTTTCTCAAATCGAGAAAAAAGTCACTATTCTGAAACAAGGTTTTAATTTACACTGGACCATCGCCCATAATGCCCAGAATAACGATTGCTGAGTAAATTGACTGGTAGGTAAACCTTGGATTCACATCCCAGCTCCAACCTTTTCCCAACAAAATACATTGAAATAATGACCTAGTAGAGAAAAAATTGTATTTACCAAAGTATTACCTCTGTCTCTCTGTCACCATTTAGGTAGACATAAATCCTATTAAACAACGTTATCTTTTCCCGAGTCTTTTTCATTAGGAAGCTATATACTTAAAATTAAAATTATCAAAAGTAATAACTAGACAGTCACACAATTGAACATGTCTTTCAAGAAATGCTTGGTAAGTTGCATTGGCAAATTGCTTCCATCACAAATCCTTTTTTTATTGTTTTAGGTGATGATTGTACTGGTGCAATCAGTCCTCGCAGCAACAGTTGTAGAAAAGGCACGAAACCCACTCTCTAATCCAAAAAATAGTACCCTCGCCAGAACCACTGAAGTGTATCAAACGATTGTCAATATACAAGCAATTGTGGACAATATTTTAGCTGATGTAAACTTTTTAGTCACTTCTAGCAACATAAGCAATACAGTTTCGGTGCTACAAACTGAAATAGTAGGCCCTTTATTAACTCTTGCTAACAATTTAGCTTCGTTAGCTTTTATTCAGTTAATACCAGCAGTATATACGGTGGTACTAATATTGCAAACACTATTAACTATAGTAAATGCAGCTTTAACTAGAGCAACTAGTGTAGTCAATGGAACTGTTAATATTGTACAGACTTTTGTTGATTCTGTTTTCAGTGTTATTTTAAGTTTAGTGCAAGGTTTAGGGGTTTGAATCACCAAGTAGGTTATTATAATAAAAAGTAAATACCAAATAAAGATTGTATAATAATTAAACATTCATAAGTTTGATAACTTTTAGTCCTGAGTCATAATCATTACATTATTTTGTTGGTGGGTTTTACCAGTATCAAGTTTTGAATAATGTAGGTACTCTACTTGGGCTGTAACGAGTGATATATTATGACAGTAGATATAAAATGAAATGTATCCTAGATATTAATGTACCTAATAGCTACACTTACCTCTGGTGGTGATAGTTTGCTCATAGCAGCCCTCGAGATTTCCTTCGAATAATGCAGTCTCCGAAAAGTGCGCCATAACCTCAATAAAGAAACTTTGCTCTTACCAGAGGCACTGTTCAAACATAAACTCGAATAGTTACTATAGCCGAAACTGTTATTAGACGGAAATGTATTGGAAAATTTCACATTTTTACCAGTCCTGAGCAACTGCGAGGCTCTGTAACCGACAACCATTTTTCTAGTTTTGTAGGACGATCGCAAAAAAACGCTCGGTAATTAATTCGCGTCGTAGTTTTCTATTCATTGTAACTTTTGGGCCAGCCATAAACTCAAAGAAAATTGCATTTTTTGGATTTTTCTGAAAATAATTTTTGACCTTTTTGTTTTTGACAAAATAAATTGGGGTTATGTTGGAAGGTCTTCTTCTTTTTTGCATCATTTGGCATTTGCCTGGGTTGTGACTTCACTTTATACTATACCGGGTTACCCGGTATTTTTGTTTATATACAACAAAAAAGTTAAATTACAAATTAATTAATAAATAATTATTTAGGGGTAATTGATAATTATTATTCAGGAAGGAATTTTCATATTGGAGATTTTGGCAGATTCACGAAGGTATGTTCAAAATAATAATAATATATTAATATGTATTTAATATTTATTACAAAACTATCAAACGAATCTACATTTTCCATATTTACAGATCAACATAAGGTATTTAAACTAATTATTAATTTAGTAAATATTTATTATTTTATTTATTTATTTATCTACAAGCGTGCGGTAACTAAGGTATATTACACGATTTTGCGTGCGGTAAGTACCATATTACCGCACGGCGTGCGAACCTACCTATCACCTAAATTCTACTTGTATGTACACCGAGATGTACACTGTCAAAGGTGACAGACACAATTATTATTATTTTTTTTTTTTTAAATTTTTTAAACTTCTTTCGGATATTTTGTTACCACACGCTTGTAGATAAAATACTGTATATAATGCGTATGGTAATTAGGTTATTACCGCCCTTGAAGATTGCAAACCTTGCCCCACCGGCTCGGTTTGCAAATTTCTCCCGCGTGCGGTTATAACCTAGTTACCACACTTATTATATAATATACTATTATCTACAAGTGTGCGGTAACTAAGGTATAATCGTTGATTAATACATGATTTTGCGTGCGGTAAGTACCATATTACCGCACGCTGTTCCTACATAGGTACAGAGTTATTGGTTATAAATGAACTTCTTAAATTTGAAAATCATATTGACTGCCTAAATCGCAAACTGGCTAGTGCATGCTACATTATCCGAACTGTGTTACATGAACTTGGCAAAGCAAATGCCAAAATAGCATACTTTTCTTTATTGGAGTCACATATAAGATATGGCATAGCTTTCTGGGGTTACTCAACCCAAAAGTCACTTCAAGCAGTGTTTGTTCTGCAAAAAAGAGCGATTCGTTACCTTTGTAAAAAAAGCTGTAGAGAATCATGCAGACCATTGTTTGTGCAGGAAGAAATTTTGACTGTGCCCTCTCTTTTTATTTTAGAATCTGTGAGCCTCATTTTTGAAAAATTCTCTGGTTTCGTTCAAACAACTAACTATAACCTACGTCAGGATAATTTGCCTTTGCTAGTACCTAGATTTACTCTTACAAAAAATTCAGTTATATAAAAATGTTTAATCATCTACCTCAACTAATAAAGAACTAACAGATATGATATATTTCGCTCATTAGTCAGGCAACATCTAGTCACTAAAGCTTTTTATAGTCTTAAGGAATTTTATGATCATGTGTGTTAGGTAGAGGATCGAATTGGAAAATAGGGTATAATTTTTATGGGTTTTGGTACATGTTGAGTTATAGAATACAATGCGCTGAGTGCGTCTTGGCCTTCGCTTCACAAAACAGTCAAAAAAATTTTTGAATTTTCAAAAAGTTTTTGGAATTATAGTTTGTTTTTTACTTTTACCACATAGATGTTTTTCTCTTTGTTGTTTGTTTTTTATATCGTTTGTTCGACTAAAAAGTTAAATTTTATTTATTTATTTATATTTATTCTGTTTTTTTTTCTCGTAAAGTTCTTATTTATGTTTATTAACCTAATTTGCACCATAAGTTTATAGTTTGAACTAGTGATTTGATTTGTGATTTTTGTCTTTTTTAAGCTTCATAATTGTGGTAAAAATTTGACTTAATTTACTTAAAATTAATTAGTAATAAGAATTTTGCTTTGTCAATGAAAAACAATGGTATTTTTTGGACAATAAAGCTTATTTTGATTTGATTTGAATGTCACCCCCCTCTATCTTTTTTATTTGACATTTTAGAAAAAAGTGTCTCAAATAAAAGTTTTATGGTTGGAATTAAATTTTTTGAAAAACTCACTTTCGCATATACAGGGTGTTTCAGAAAAGCTGGTCGTGCTCCAAATTTCTTATTTCAAATAGAATACCCTGTATATTATTGGATATTCGGATTCTACGTAAAATTCTGAGCAGATTTCATGTGATATACCCTATACCTAAGTTGCACTGTTTTGGAAATATGACAGTTGAAAATTGACTTTTTTGCAACTTTGACAGGCTCTAAATCCTAAACGGTCAATTTTAGAGTAAAACCGATTTTACATTTTTACCTTAGATTTTTATAAAATATCAGTTGACACCAATATTTGACATCAACTTTGAATTTAATCCATGATTGAAAATTCCAATTAAATTTAATCTTCAGTTAAATTCAAAGTTGGTGTCAAATGATTGTTGTGCAAATCTTAGAAAAAAATGTGAGATCGGTTTTGCTCAAAAGTTAACCGTTTAGGTTTTACAGCCTGTCAAATTTACAAAAAAGTCAATTTTCAACTGTCAATATTTCTAACACAGTTGAACTTAGGTATAGGGTATATCACATGAAATCTGCTCAGAATTTGACGTAGAATCGGAATACTGAATAATATACAGGGTATTCAATTTAAAATAAGAAAGTTGGAGCACGACCAGCTCTTTTGAAACAACTTATGCAAAAGTGAGTTTTTCAAAAAATTTAATTTCAACCATACATTTTTTATTTGAAACACTTTTTTCTAAAATGTCAAATAAAAAAGATAGAGGGGGGTGACATCTCGGGTGACATTTATAACCAATAACCCTGTACAGTTGCGATAAAAAAAAAGTAGTACAAAAAATTATTAACCCCAATTTGAGCTCCCGGTGTAGCATACAAAACTTTGACAGACAATGACATATTCTAGGTTAAAAACGGGTTTCTAGGTTAGAACCTTGTCGAAAAATGCCAAAAATATGTCATTTTTGGTTATGAATTAAATTAATGTATAATAGACCAGGAGATTATGGAGATTTTTCTTGTACTACTTTTTTTTCATCGCAACTGTACGTACCTTCAATTACCTACATATCACCTAAATTCTACTTGTCCACTGTCAAAGGTGACACACACAATTTTTTTTATAATTTTGTTGAACTTCTTTCAGATATTTTGTTACCGCACGATTTTAGATAAAATACTGTACATAATACGTATGGTAAGGTTATTACCGCCCTTAGAGATTGCAAACCTCGCCTCGTCGGCTTGGTTTGCAAATTTCTCTCGCGTGCGGTTATAACCTAGTAGGCCAAGGCACTTAGCGAAATAATAGCCATATTTTGACATAAAAGGACCCCGCAATATTTAAATGGAAATTGGTTACCCGTGATATTTGGATGAAATTTAAATATGTTATTGGGGATGCCGTAAGCAACATTTTTTACCATGGGCACAACCCTGTATATATGACAGGTGAGGCGTGGTTAGCTGTCAAATATTGGAATCTGATATCCAAAAACAGAGTAACTATGGCAGATTTTGTGGACAAAAAATCTATTTCTACTAAGTCGACCAAGTTAAGTCGAAAAATGTCAATCGTTTTAACACCTGTAAAAACCCTGCCAAACGGCAGAACTCATCTTTTCCAGTTTTCAATATTTTATGTTGTCATTTGACATTTTTAACTTATATGTAAATTCTGAATTCAAAAATTGAAAAAAAAAAATGACAGCTGTCAAAATGTGACGTGTATGAACTTTGTTCAATGTTTTATCACCAATAAACTACCTTAAAACGAGAAAGGACCAGATTAGAGTATTTTTTTCTGCTAAAACAAATGACAGGTTTTGACAGTTCTGTCATTTTTTTTTTCAATTTTTGAATTTTTTATATAAGTTAAAAATGTCAAATGTCATAAAATTTTGAAAACTGAAAAAAATGAGTGCTGTCGTTTGGCAGGGTTTTGACAGGTGTTAAAATGGTTGACATTTTTCGACTTAACTTGGTCGACTTAGTAGAAATAGATTTTTTGTTCATCAAAATCTGCCATAGTTACTCTGCTTTTGGACATAAGATTCCAATATTTGACAGCTAACCACGCCTCACCTGTCATATATACAGGGTTGTGCCCATGGTAATAGTATATTACATACCGAGTAGGGAAGTGTTTCATTACTGTCGAGAGATTCTAATAGTCAATCGAGACGCGAAGCGTCGAGATTGACTATAATCTCGAGACATAAATGAAAACTTTCCTCTGAGGTTTGTATACTATTTTATTTGCAAGTACACCATTAATAGAAAATTAGTTAAATATTTTTTTAATAATAAAAAAATAAAGCAAACATGGCAGAATGTGTCATTCACTGTTTTGACGTTTTTACCTGCCATGTTCTCATTGGTCGCGTTCACCAGTACTCAACATGTTGAGTGATTAGTAAACGGCTTTGTTCCAACAAGTGGAATACACAAGGTAGAACAGTTTTGATTGGTCTAGAGCTGATTTTCATCTGTTTTCAACAAAGCCGTTAACTAATCACTCAACATGTTGAGTGCTGGTGAACGTGACCATTGTTGCCAGCAAAGGTAAATAAATTAGAGTGAGGGAAATCGGTGAGGGAAGTCGAATAGGGAAATCGGTGAGGGAAATCGAAGAGGGAAGTAAAGCAGGTAATGTGACACTTCCAAAATTTTAAAAAGTCAGTAATGTCAAGATTACATATATGCTTGCAAATAAAAAATGTTGCTTACGGCATCCCTAATAACATATTTAAATTTCATCCAAATATCACGGGTAACCAATTTCCATTTAAATATTGCGGGGTCCTTTAACAGCAAACTATCGATGCAATATTGTTAAGGATCATTTATAGATGCTAAAAACCAAAAATGCAACATCTAATTACTTTTAGGGGATTTTATAAACAATATTTAGTGCAATAATAGGGCTTTTTTTTTGTTTATTTCACTGTATTTCGAAAACTAATGATCGGATGGTTTTGCTATTGTGGCAGTAGTTTTAGAGCATTGAACAAGCTTTACAATGAGCCATCATACAACTCTGTAGGTCTTTTAGTCTCCGAGAAATGATTTTTTTCCCCCCAAATAAGAGATTTTCGTAAAAAAATCCTAACTTTTTTAATTTTCATGCTAGACAATTAATTTTTCACACATATATAGTAGATGAGGCAGGCTTTATTGAGCCCAAATTTGGGCCCGGCCCGTTGGGTCGTTTCGACATAATACCCTTGTCAAGCAAAATGGGGATGTTTCTAAAGCAGTCTGTCGAATTGAGGATAATTTTTTTATATTTATTTTGAAAAGTCCACTGATAAGTCGAAATGCCAAACTATCGATCCTCTATCTCAGATTTTCCATTTAATTTTTTTATCGTAAGTAAAACGGCTTCGAACATGACTCAAAATGGAAAAAATCGGCGGGAATTCAAACGGAGTAGGCAGCGAGCTTCCCCCCGCCACGCAAATTACATTTTTTTCCATTTTCAGTGATTTTACTTGCGATAAAAAAATTAAATGGAAAATCTGAGATGGAGGATCGATAGTTTGGCATTTCGACTTATCAGTGGACTTTTCAAAATAAATATAATAAAATTATCCTCAATTCGACAGACTGCTTCAGAAATATCCCCATTTTGCTTGACAAGGGTTTTATGCCGAAACGACCCATCGGACCGGACCCAAATTTGGGCTCAATAAAGCCTGTCTCATCTACTACGTATGTGTAAAAAATTAATTGTCTAGCATGAAAATTAAAAAAGTTAGGAATTTTTTATGAAAATCTCTTTTTTGGGGGGAAAAAAATCATTTCTCGAAGACTAAAAGACCTACAGGGCTGTATGATGGCTCATTTTAAAGCTTGTTTAATGCTCTAAAACTATTGCCACAGTAGCAAAACCATCCGATCATTAGTTTTCGAAATACAGTGAAATAAACAAAAAAAAACCCTATTTTTGCACTAAATATTGTTTATAAAATCCCCTAAAAGTAATTAGATGTTGCATTTTTGGTTTTTAGCATCTATAAATGATCCTTAACAATACTGCATCGATAGTTTGCTGTTAAATTTTATGTTACGAAAAAATTTATCTTTCTGGCCTATAGAAGAATTCACGATTTGCATTTTTGCAAATTTTATCATTTTGGTACTAAGATTTTTGTAAACTTGAAAAAATCATAACTTTTTTTTAATTAGAGATAGAAAGCTAAAATTTTCAGCACATGATTCTTCAATTTTTCACTTTTTCTGAGTGCCATTTCTCATAGAATCCGGCTCCAAATGTCAGAATAATTAAGTGTATGGGAGTTTAGGGGATCCCAAACGAGGGGTCAGCCACCCACCAAAATTTGTACACCTATTACTCGCCCATTACCATTTCTGTAATTTATTACCACATATTACTGGTGATGGTCATTACCATCTATTATAAGTTAGATATTATGTAATTATTACATTTTACTTCGCCAAAAAATCTCAACATAAAAAAAATTGAAATTTTATCATTTTAGGACACTGGGGTAGCTAGCTACCTTTAGGATCGAGCTTATGATGATTTTTGAAAACTTTAAACAACCTTAGTTGCTTGAGACCGCCAAGATTTTTTTTTTACACTCCACACTACAAAACAAACCAAGAAACAAAAACAGTTAACAATTATGGGTACTCAGAAAAAAGATCTTACAGAGCTTACTTGTGATTCTTGTGAGGCTTCATGTTATTTTAAAGAAGATAAAAGCCTGTTGTTTGGATATCATTGCAACAGGTGCAATAGAGTTTTGTGTAAAATATGCCGTGGGATTTACGCACAAGAAATTCTATGCTCTCTACCACAGAAAAAGATGGTATTGGTGTGGTGCAGAGACCGCTTAGATCATTACATAGCAAACGATGCTACTAACAGAGATGATATTGTCTCAAATCTAAACCTTGATCTGTTCAAAAACTGTATTAACACTGCAGTCAATGAAGCAGTATCTAAAGTATTCAAAACTTTTGAGTTAACCATAACTATCAAACTAGATATGATGTCTCAAAAAATCTATGATTCCATGAGGGAGTTGGTTCAAAGTTTGATCGATCAACAGTCCAAGGGGATAAAGCATAGTATTGATTCAGCATCGGAAAATGTGGCAACAGATTCTACTGTAATAATCCAATGTGGAAAACCCCTCATGCCAAATAGCTTAGACATTCAAGTTGCAAACAATCACAATCAAGACACAAATCATGTAACAGCTAGTCAAGTGTCGAGAGCTATAAGTGAGGTAATGATGGAGGTTACTGACAAAAATAATAGCGAAGACTGTTTTTCACGAGATTTTCCTCATACTCTGGGTCACAGAGAGGTTGGCAGCAGACATAGCACACAGTCAATAGTAAATAATCAAAAAACTTTTTTGTATGGCAACCCACCTAGCAGAAATAACACTAACAGATTGATAAACTCTCAGCCCTGGCTTAAGCAATTACCAGCTAATACTAATAATTCACAGTTTGGGGTCCTCCAGGACATAATAATATGTTAAATATGAGTACAATGACTGGTGCTGTGAATCAATCCATATTTGCAACTCAGCAGAAGTCAGGGACTCTGGTTGGCACTGGTCAGTCAATTGATGCATTAAAAATTGTTCCGGTTTCCAATAGATCCTGGCTTTACGTGGGTCGTTTCTCGGAGGAAGTTAGTGAAGATGTGGTGCACGAATTTGTACAAAATAAACTTAAAGTTGATGATCTTTCTGTTCAGAAGTTGGTGGTCAGAAACAGGATGAAATCGTTTAAGCTTGGTATTGCCAAAAACTACTTTGATACTATAAATGATTGAAACTTTTGGCCTCGGGGAGTGGTTTTTAAGGAATTTCAATTTAGACCATGGCAGTCTAGAGATGGAGAAGTAAGGCTGGATTCACGATTGAATAACAGGATAGAAAGAACACCTCGAAATGATCGACCATCAAATTTTGTTCAGGAGACGCATATTCAGGCAACAGGGTAGCTCTAACAGGCTACTATCAAAATTTCAGGGGGTTGAGAACAAAACTAACCACCCTTATGTGCAATATTTCCACGGAAAACTATGATTTTGTGTTATTTACTGAGACTTTTCTGAACAAAGACATTTTGTCGAGCAAATTGGGAATGAGTGATTACTTAATATTTTGCTGTGATAAAACCAGTGTCCATAAGTCACAAGGGGGTGTTATTGTTGCAGTGAGGAAGTCACTTAATTGTAGACAGATACCTACCCAATTTGAATCAGTGGAACACATTTTTGTACTGGTTTCTTTGAAAAAGCATCATATTTTGTTGGGCAATGCTTATTTGTCCCCAGATTCTCCTATAGATACTTATGAAACTTACTGCTCATCCGTAACAGCTGCGTTGGAAGTATGTAGTACTTGTCAAAACTTGGAAATCTATCTATGTGGAGATTTTAATAGACCAGATGTGTCCTGGATCAATGATTTGTATGGGACTAGAGCTATTGGTAAACAATCTGAAAAAACTACAGAGACAAGCAGTCTGCCAACTCTGGATTTTATTTATTTATTTATTTATTCAAAGCTTTTCTCTGTGTAAAATGTAGAATAATGCATTACCACCTCTGAATTGCTGCCTGTTCAATCTAAACATTATTTTGTTGTCTATCATTAAGGATTTAATTTAAGTTTCAGATTTCAATTAATGGCACAAACATTGCATGTTTCATTTAGCAGATAATCTTCTAGTGTGTTGTTAATATGGAGCCGCAGCCTATCCAAAGGCTAGAACAAGAAGTGGTCAACCGAATTGCTGCCGGAGAAGTAATCCAAAGACCCGCCAATGCCCTAAAAGAACTCATCGAAAATAGTTTAGATGCAAAATCTACTAGTATTCAAATAACAGTCAAAAACGGTGGACTCAAACTGCTACAGGTAACTAGAACCATCTTATTCATTTCAGTCTCTTTATAAGTACACCGTAGATCCAGGATAACGGCACTGGAATCCGTAAGGAAGACTTTGAAATTGTCTGTGAAAGATTCACCACGTCGAAACTTAGAGAGTTTGAAGATTTACATAAAATATCAACATACGGTTTTAGAGGTGAGGCTTTAGCGAGTATATCTCATGTAGCCCATTTAACTATCACCTCGAAAACTAAAAAAGAAGTTTGCGCTTATCAAGCAGAATATTGTGATAGTAAGCTTAAAGCAGCACCGAAACCTTTGGCAGGTAATCAAGGAACTATTATCACTGTTGAGGATTTGTTTTATAACATGAACGTTAGACGGAATGCTTTAAGGTCTCCTGCCGAAGAATATCAAAAGATATCTGACGTTGTTAGTAAATACGCTATACATAACGCTTCAATAGGTTTTGCTTTGAAAAAGCATGGAGGAAATAACGATATCAGAACACCTAATAATTCAAATCATACAGAAAATATTAGACTTATTTATGGAAGCTCAATTGCAAGAGAATTAGTTGAGTTTAGTCTAACAAATGACAATTTACAATTCACTTGTAAGGGCCTCATGACTAATGTAAATTACTCTACAAAAAAATTTCAATTTTTACTGTTCATTAATCACAGATTAGTCGATAATCAAAGTTTAAAAAAATGCATTGATACAGTCTACCAAACTTATTTACCAAAAAACGGCCACCCTTTTGTCTATTTGAGTTTAGAATTAGATCCTAATAATATAGATGTGAATGTGCATCCCACCAAACATGAAGTGCACTTTTTAAATGAAGGTCAAATTGTTGAAACTGTTACTACAGCTTTGGAACAAAAGCTTTTGGGGTCTAATAGGTCTAGAATTTTTTACACTCAGGTAAATTAATTAGTATGTCGTTACATATACCAATTAATAATAGGTATATCTTTTTTAGTCTAAGTTGCCCAATTTGCAATTTGAAACTAAAGAAAGTTTGAGAGACAAAGATGCTGGGGCAAAAAAATCTGTTGAGGCTGCCAAATATGTGGTATGGGACACACAGAAATTAAGTTTTTCTTTAAGAATTTAATGTTTCTTAGGTGAGGACAGATTCAAATATGCAAAAATTAGACAAATTTTTCCAAGTTGTCGATAAAAATCAGAAACTACCTAAAAAAGATATTGCAAATACTTCTTTAACTGAAGAAGAATATCAAAAGCAGCACGAGGATTTTTTAAAAGCTCAGGAAAGTTTCGAGAATCGCTGTTTAAATAAAACTATGGACAATATTGAAAATCGTAAGTCCAATTCATTGTTTCAAATTCAAGTTTTTCCTTTTTTGTTTTTAAGGCATGTCAACTGAATCACTACCAGTAGTTATTGAAGATTCTGTAATAAATAGCGGCGATAATGAAACAAATAAAAATACAGCTGCAGAGCCTGTGGCTGTTGCATCAACTTCAAACATTAATTTTCCGTTTAGTGCTTCTCAAGAGGCCAAACGTTGTGAAAAACCTTTAAATAAACATTTTATTAAAAAAGTAACAAGGTATTATTAGCAAAATCATAATGCAAATAATTTGATAAAAATATAATAATTACAGAGTTGAAACGACTTTAACTAGTGTGCTTGAGCTGCGCAAAGCCGTAGAAGAAAATTGTCATAGAACTTTAAGAGAGACTTTTGCCCAACACGTTTTTGTTGGCTCGATTAGTCCTACACAATCTCTAATACAGTTTAACACTCAATTGTTACTATGCCACACAAAAATTATTTTAGAAGAATTGTTTTATCAGTGTGTTTTGTATAATTTTCAAAACTTTGATTGTTACAGGTAATTATAATATATTTTTATTGTTCTTTTGCAAAATAATATTTGTAGGTTGGGTGAGCCTTTGTGCATCAAAGATTTAGCATTACTTGGGCTTGATTTGCCAGAAGCTGGTTGGACAGAAGAGGACGGCCCCAAAACTGAATTAGCCGAAAAAGTCACTGAAATACTCACTCAAAAACGCCAAATGCTTAATGAATATTTTTCTTTGGACATTGATTCAGAAGGAAAGCTAAATACTTTACCAATTTTGATAGAAGACTACATTCCAGATCCTGTGTGCTTACCTATGTACCTCATTAGATTAGCCACTGAAGTTCAATGGGAAACTGAAAAGGAATGTTTTGATTCGTTTGCCAGAGAAACTGCTATATTTTATTCGAATATTTCAACGGACACCAATGAAAATGGGAAATCTTGGAAATGGATCGTTGAATATTTATTGTATCCGGTTGTAAAGGAATTTTTCATTCCTCCTAGAAGTTTTACAGAAAATGCTGCTATTTTAGAGATAGCTAGTTTGCCAAATTTGTATAAGGTATTTGAAAGGTGTTAATAATAGAATTTTGTTTTGTATATCTATTTATTTAATTGTGTCTCGAACTAATTGTGTTTGTACTACATTTATCAAAATTACTTCCTTTTTGTTTTCAAAGGACTCTTCTTTCTTGGGCTTTTTGATTTGGATTTCGCTGTCCCTTTGCTCCCTTTGGATTTGCTTTTGGAGCGAGATTTTCGTTTTGTTAGCTTCTTTTTGCCTTTTTCCCCTGAATCAGGTGATACGATTTTTTGAGCAGTTTTGGGTACTTCGGTTTGATGGGCAAAGGAATCGTATCCAAATTTGCTACACATTTTACCTACAAAAAAATATTTTAGTGTTTTATGACTAAATGGAAAATAATTATTCACCATTGCAAAAATCCTCTCCACATTCCGCACAAGACACCACACGCATTTCAACTACCCCAGCTTTGTTTTTGCTTTTTCTTATTTGAGGATCCATTTGAAATTGTCGTTTTTCAGCAGCTCGGCTTTTATTTTGAAGTTTGCCTAGTTCCACCAACCTAAAAAAAATATACTAAATATTTCCCCCTAAAAATTTTCCCAGTTACCTTGAAAAATAATTTTCCTCAACTTTATTCTTGGGTCTTAACGTTGTTAGCATTTTCCAATCGATAGTTACTTCAGCCAAATCGCTAATTTTCAATTTTTGCATTTCCACCGGCAAAGGATTCATAAATAAATACGGTTCCTTGAGATTCTTTAAATCTTTTTTGCCCGATTTGAATTTGAAATTTTTATCTTTAATCTTGACAGTTTCAGCTTTTTCGGGTTTAATTTTGAAATCGGGTACCTTTTCCAGAAGACGTCGGAATTCTTCTTTCGAGTTGCACGCAGTCTTGGATAAATCCAAAATCGGAGCAGTTTCCTTTTTCTTTCCTAGAAAATCGTCCAGTTTCGCCATAGCTTAGTTTTTCTATAACAAACGTCTCGTGTAAAAATACAAAATATTTACAATTATACCCTGTATTATAATTCAAAAAATAAACTAAGTTCTATGACGAGGTGATAATAAGGTTGGAGTTTGAGGACTATTTTCCCATTTTTCTTGTTCCAATAAAAGTCCATTATGTAATGTTGATAGTTTTGATAATAAATCAACCCTATGGTCATTGGTTGTATCGAATTCTGGTAAGGAATTTTTTCTTTCTAATGAATCTCTGGGACTATTTTCTTCGATTTTTAAAATATCCACTTTATGACGTCTACAATTGCAGCAACATTTTACATACAAATGATCTCTGTCGCTTTCTAAAGGAGCTATTTCTCTTTGGTACATTTTAAGGTTTCCATTAAACATTCTTTCTTCAGTTCTCCATCTAGCTCTAGAATGTCTTTTATCAACTACATCTTTTTTTCTATATCTTACAGGAGTTCCTATATGACTATCATCACTGGAATTTTTCTCATCATAACTCTTATTAGCGTTATCTCGCTTTTGCCTTAACTTTCTTCTTTGATAAAGTGGGTCTTTTTCGCTCTGTTTCATATATCGTGTTGGAGGCCTATTCACACCCCATTTAGGTCTTTCGTCCATACTTTCACTACGACTTCGCCTGTCTCTTCGTTTATTCTCATAACTCAAATCCATATTTGACATTTTGTCTCTTAAATATTTCTCTCCTGTTTCGGAAGAAGATCTTGCAGAATTAAGCGAATCAGTTTGGGTGCTGCTGTCGCATTTGCTTACATTATTTCTATAACGTGTTGGAGTTAGGATTCTGTTTTCTGTTCTGGCAGAATTTAGGACGCTGTTTATTTCACTTACAGGTAGAGCTACGGGGTATTGAGCAGATGGAATAAGGACTGCATATTGGATGTTTTGGAGAGTGTCCAGAGTTGGTTGGAAAAAATAGGTGAACTGATTATTTCTTGGTGATTGCATTATAGGAGTAAGGCTTCTTTCTTGGTTATTATTGATTACTGAGCTATGTAAACTTGTGGTGCTTTTTGACGGTGATACTGATGGATTTGGCATAATTTCCGGTGGTTCGCTTAAATTATTGTTAATTTCTTTGGTAATGTTGTCTTTTTTGGGCGTCAGTGAAATGTCTTTTGTGTTGTTTAGTTTTTCTTCAACATTTTCATTTACTTCACTAGCAGGCAATTTAGGTTTCTCTACGATATTTTCTGTAATGTTATTTAGCTCAGAATTCGATCCATTGCTTTGCTTCATCATTCTCAATTTAATTTTTTCCAGTTTTGCTTCTTTTTCCGCAATTTCTAGAGCCTGCTTGATAGCTTCCTTTCTTTTACGCTCTCGTTCTAGTTTCTCTTGAATTGCTCGTTCCTCTTCCAACTTACGCCGTCGCTCAAATTCTTGTTCTCTTTCAATTCTCAACTCTTCTTCGCGTTCTTCACGGATCCTTCTTGCACGTTCCTCTTGACGCTTCTTTTCTCGCTCCTCCAACTGTTGTCTTATGGCTTCTTGGTGGGCTAGAGCTAACTGTCTTCGGCGTTCTCTTTGTGCCAGTTCCACAGAGTCGATTGGGATGTTTTGGCCTCGAATGTAAGTTCTGAAAAAAAAAGGAATCATTAGAAATTATTTTTTCCGCTCGACAGTGTGTTAAGAGACTACTTTAAGCATTAACTTAACTATGTAACAAACACAAAATAATTTGGTTCAAATTTCTAGGTTCTTCAATAAGAGTTTTCGCAATAGCACTTCCTTAATTCCACATGTTGCTGCATCTGTGTGTAGAATAGTATTTTTATTTGGGTCAAAGTCTTTTAGTACTGGTGCTGATATAAGTTTTGCCTTAAGAGTATTGAAAGCTTCCTCCTGGTTTGTGCCCCATTGAAACCCTATGTTTTTCTTTGCTACGTCATGTAACGCCTGTAACGGTCTTACTATTGCAGCGAAGTTGCATATGAACTTTCTATAGAAATTACATAATCCTAGAAAGCTTTGCACATCCTTAACTTTCTTTAGAGTTGGGAAGTTCTTTATGCATACCAGTTTATCTTCGTCTGGTAGTATGCCCTTTTCGGTTCACATTAAAACCCGGGATTTTTATTTCTTGTCGTAGGTACTGGAATTTGCTTGGTTTTAAGATTAGGTTCGCTTGTCGTAATCTTTCCAAAACTTTTCCTAATTTTGCCAAGTGCTCTTCGAACGTTTTTGAGAATATTATTATGTCGTCCAGATAAATTAGGTAATATTTCCTTCCATTTCATGTCCCAAAAAACGTGGTCAGCTAATTCTTGGAAGGTTGCGGGAGCATTACATAGTCCAAAGCTGAGAAAATTAAATTCGTAGGTTCCGCGACCTTGTGCTACGAATGCGGTGTACTGTTTGGAGCTTTCTTCGACAGGTCTGTCAGAATCCAGAGTGCTAAAATAGGATGCATTTCCGAGATATGACGGAATATCGTCGACTTGTGGTAAAGGGTATGATGCTTTCTTTGTTACGGCATTAATTTTTCGGTAGTCGACACAAAAACGGATTTTCCCATCTTTTTTCTTTACTAGGACCACCAGACTAGCCCACGGTGAATGACAAGGCCTTATATCATTGCTGTCTAGCATTTCTATTATTTGCTCGTCTATTATTTGTCTTTCTTTCTGGGATACTTTGTAAGGACGGCTTCTTATTAGACTTGCTTCCCCTATTTCTATTTTATGTTCTGTCAAATTTGTCTTTCTCATGGCAAAAACGTCATTATACTCCATTAGTAGTTCTTGTAGTGCCAATTTAACTTCGCCGTTAATTGTAACACCAGGTAAAAATTGTTTCGGTTAGTGCTCTGATTGTGCGTCTTAACAGCATGGCTCAGATCCATTCCACTATTGTGTGATGAGTGCCACGCCTACTCAATACTAGGCATATCAATTCGAAAGAAAAATTATCAAATGCACCTTCAATTTCTAAGAAGACTCCAATGCTGGTCTGTCCTCGGTCCAGCGCTCCTTCCACTCTGTCTACTAAATAGTGCAGCGCTGCTTCTGTGGACTTACGAGCCTGGTAGGTATATTGATGCTGGTGCAGGGGGTATTGCTCCAATGTTTCTTCTCTGATGTGCCAGTCTACTACTCGCTCCATATTTTTACGTCGCTTAAATAGCATTCATCAGGGGGGCCTGTCTTAAACTGTTCTTTGTGTTTCCTCTGCCTTTTTTTAAGTCGCTTCGGCTGTCGTCGCACCCTCGTTTTTCTTTTCTACAATAGATTTCTGTCTCAATATGTTCCCAATCATATTCCAGTCCAGCTGCGTACGCACCAGCAGAATTTCAATATTTTCTTTCTCGATCCTCGTGCCACATATTATATCTTCAGTTTCCTCTCTTAAACTTCTTCACTTGGACAAAGTGTGCTCAGGGCGCAGGGGTATCCCTTTCATCACAGAACCAACACCCATCGTCTTTCCTCTTCCTAAACTTTTTGAAGTACCAGTTGAAAAGTCCATGTCCCGTCATTGTCTGCGTTAATTCGTGATTTACCCCATTTCCTATCTGATTGCTTATCGGCTTCGTTTGTGATACTCGCTGCCATATTGGTGTGTCACCATTTCCGGCTTCATAACTAAGTCGTCAGCTGTTTGAACAGCCTATGTCAAGGCAAGAAATAACATGTTGCCTGCATAGGCGCCGGAAGCATGGGGGCAATGGGGGGCCTCCATAGTTATTTTGGGATTGTGAAGTACAAAAGTAGTATTGAGTTCCTAACTTTATATTTTTACATCAAACTTGTGTGTTTTATGTTTTTGTTGTTTTTTCTATGCCTACTTTAACAAACAGTTTGAATATTTTGTTGTGTAGTATTTAAACCTGTATTTCAATAAGTTATTGGATCAAGGATCACTTCCTGCGAACTTGCCTCCTTCCCTCAACACAAAATCCTGGCTACGCCAATGGTGCTGTCGAAGCCGAGTATAGCCGAGCTGCCGAAGATGCACGGATTTCAATAATATGTAAGGACGATCAATGATCCAGCGTGACAATCCTGCACTATGGGTACCTATCTGACAACTGGTTTCATTTAAGCCTATGTGTCTAGTAGTTTAATCCTGTGTGTATATTTCAATTCTACTCATAAGTTTTGGAGCCCGGCCCGAGCCCCTATAGTAATTATGAAATTCCGGCGCCTATGGCTGCCTGCGTCATAACACTCATAACTGATGATTTCGTATGGGAGGAAGGGGGGAGTTGTGACACACAGGGCTTTTGAGGATAAGTCATTCTGTAGCAGTAGTATGTCCCGCTATCACCTGAATTGCCTCAGTCAGAACTGCTGACGCAATGTTTATGCTCAAACGTCTGTTTATTTTTTCTAATATCCCTACGTATTTCCTGTGTCGAATTGCTTTTACTCAAGTTGGGGTTGCGTATAGGACCACGGATTGTACTGTGCTAGCTAGTAGTTTCTTGCTGGCAGGTTTTGGTCTTCCGGTTTCTGGGAGGATTCTTAACAAGCTATTTATCATAAGGTTCGTTTTCTCTGTGACATCCGTAGGTATTTATCTAAATGCCTAACTAACATAGAGCTTTCTACTAACTGGTCGCTGATCATCACTTCTAATTTTTCAATCTTCCTTCTAGCGGCCAGCAACTTAGCAGTGGCCACCCTGAGATCCATTTCTTCAAGTTTTTCTAATGATTCTGGCAACAGCTATACTCATTTTTTTGGCATTCTTCGCCTTCACTATCACTGCCATACACGACAGCCTCTGTTATCAATATGCTGTTCAAGTAAGATACTAACCTGATTTACTCAGTTGTGAGTTTTTATCATTAGTTCAAAAACTACAAATTTCAAATGAGTAACTTACTTGAACAGTTCAACAATAAATTGGTAAGAATATGGCTGCGGGACGAACGCAGCGATTTCAACGGTTTAACAGCGGTCTGAACGGTGTCAGCTAAAATATGTCACTTCGTGCAAAATTCCGTTTAATTTTTCTGGGTCCCTGCTGGGGCGCCAAATTTGTGACGGGCTTTCGGTTATTAATTGATTTGAATTAATTTGCAGTAATCTTGGGCGCCACCTTTAATATTATAGCAGCTGAAGGCCCACTTTGCTCCAGGTAGCTTATTACAGTGGAGAAAATATCCCAGAGGTCAAACAAGAAGCTGTCAGAAAGTTATCTGGAAGTAGGGCTGAAACTTGAACAATTTGTTATATAAACTGAAAATTTATCAAATACAAATGAGTGGATTGTTGCGGAATTCATGGGTGGACCTCTGCGGGACGAGCGCAGCGAGTTCCGCAGCCATCTACTTATAAATTGCTTTTCAAGTACAAGGTGATCTATTATAAATGTCACCCCCTGCTAACTTTTTCATTTGACGTTTTTGACAAAAGTGTCAAATACAAAATTTTTAAGAAATTGTCAAAAGTTTTTAACTAGGTCAGTTTTAGGCATACAGGGTGCGTCAAAAAAGTGCAGCAGTGTGATGTTATATTTTTTTAAATGGAACGCCCTATATATTGTGCGCTTATTTATTACTCCCCTTCAACCTGATTTCAACGATATATGGTTTGATATGTTTATCTCTCCAATAATTAAAGGGAAAAACGCGAAAATCCCTTCAGATCTCTCATATTATTTTTTTTTTTAATATTAAAAATAACTTAGACATCTAGATTTATTATAATATTTCCCCTTGTATATTATTGAATAAAATTTAAACAATAAACTGTTTATAAGAAAAATTCTCTAAAGCTTTAATGGCATGATATTTATTTTTTCAATATGAAAACTTGAGAGGGGTTTTCATGTTTTTCCCTATACCTAACTTTTGAAGATAAACATATCAAACCATATATCGTTGAAATCAAGTTGAAAGGGACTAACAAATAAGCGCACAATATACAAGGTGTTCCATTTAAAAAAATATAACTTCACACTGCTGCACTTTTTTGACGCACCCTGTATGCCTAAAACAACTCAGTTAAAAACTTTCGACAATTTCTTGAAACTTTTGTATTTGACACTTCTGTCAAAAATGTCAAATAAAAAAGTTAGAAGGGGGTGACATTTATAATACGATACTAACCTGACTCACTCAATTGTGAGTTTTTATCATTAGTTCAAAAACTACGTTTCAGATGAGTGTCTTACTTGAACAGTTCAACAATATATTGGTAAGTAGATGGCCACCCGTGAATTCTGCAGTAATCTACTCATTTATACTTGAACAATTTGTTATATAAACTCAAAATTTATCAATTACAAGTTCTATTTGGGTTTTCTTTTTGAATTGGTTTCAAAAACTCCTAATTCTCAAAGATTCTTGAATCATTCCTGATATTCTTTCGATCTGAAAAAACCTATTGTGATCACATGAAGTTTGTTCATGAGGCGTAACAAAAAACAGCTGTAGCCAATGAAATTGTAAGTGATGTTGTCCAACCTGTGGTCGTCTAGTGTTACTGCTTCTGTCTGTTCCTGTCCTAAAGATGGTCACAAATTCGTTGATATCCATGGCCTGTTTATAATCATGGTACAGCACTCATAGTTCGTATAGAAAATCTCGGACTGTTTCCTCAGACGTTTGTTTTCTAATTTCAATTTTCTTCTTCAGAGATGTTCGGTAGTCTGAATTTTCAAATTCCTTCGTAAACTCATTAATGATGTCTTTCCACTCTATGTCCTGATTTTTTATTTTGTATTCCTGAAACCACAGGTTAGCTGCGCCATCTAGAAAAGTCTCAAAATAGGTAATTTTGAGTCATTCCGCCCGTTTGCTATGGCTGTCCTTTCATAGGCCTTCAAGAATTCTGTCGCACTGAGGGTTTATAAATTGTAGCACCGCTGCTTTTTTCTTTGTTTGCATGGCTTTGACAGTTGTATTGGCCATTTTGCTGTTATCTGTGAGACTGTTGACAATCTAAACTCCACAAAATAGAAATTCAATGGTTTAGGACATAAAAATGAACAAAAGTAAAGGGCCTAGTTTAGTATACGGAGGCCTTTGATTATTTGTTACCAATTTTCTAATTTTCTCCTCTCTAAATAAAGAAATAATGGAAATTCAAGAGCCTGGAATAGAAAAACAAACAATTCAGAAAATTTCCAAACTATTAATCAATATGGTAGTAAAAAACTTGAAATAGGTACTTGAAACTTCCTATCAACTAATTTTTTTTCTAAATTGTACAACCTACCTGCAGTTATTAAGTATCATAGTGAAATAAATAATTACTTGTGTTGATGTGAGAAACTGGATCCAGTACAAGGTCTGTCATTTTCCTCGTAACGTTGTTCGGGTGAAACTGATGGGGAAGAATTGGCAACAACAATAGCGCCATCTGCTTCGAGGCCGCGTTTAACCCAATTGGGTGGATCATTGGTGGACTGGTCGTAAGGTTCTTCTTTGGGTTGCCAGAATTTGCCTACCCCCACTCCTTTGTCGCCCCATCTTGGACTAAATTCAATCAAAAAATTAGACGGAAAATATTAATATTGCTAAATTGTTATACCGATCGTCTCGACAACTGGATGAAGACTCGTATCCGCTTTGATAGTTGCCTCCAGGCCACTGACTATTATTGCCAGCAGGTGGAAGATTTTGCTTTTTGTATTCTGGAGTTGGGTAGCTGTCGCTACCGTATCCAGAAGTTTCACCTCCTCGATCAGTTTTATCATGTTTGAAATCGTAGTTCGAGTTGTATTGGTTTTGGTAGAGTGGTGGTAAGCTGCTTCGACGTTCTGTAGAGGTTCTTTGGTATGTTTCAGAGGGTGGCGGTTCTTTTTGGGTTAGCGATGGTTTTGATCCATAATGAGATCTGAGAAATTATTATGTAATTGTATAAGGCTGTTACAAAAAATTTATAAAATCTGGAAATGTGCGAAAGGTCTAGACAATTTGTAAGCTGAAAAATTACCCATTTGGTCTGCCCGAAATGACGCCGTTTTACCCAAACATTTGCCCATTGCCAGCTTTTTTTTTCTGATAAACATAGATAGTAAAACAGTTACCTGTCTGAATTTCCTGAACTTTGACTGTATTGTCTGAATGGAACACCAAGGTTTGCCAGTTCTTCTAGAAAAATGACAATTTTTGTTGAAAACGCGTCACAAGGAAATCGGCAAAACATAATAAATATAATTTCATAAATTAATAGTTACTATAGTTTGAGGTCAATCAATATAATTTCTATTAAGTATATTTGAGATATACAGACTTACCCCTTTCTCTAGCCCACTGCTGCTTTTTCCTTTCCACAAGTGACATAGAATGGTAAGACTGCGTTGTCATCTCCAGTTCATTGTAGAGTAAAAAAATGTGATTTTTGGCACTCAAAGCTGAAAGGTGATTATTTCAACGAAAGTACAAAATAAAGTATAAACTTCACCCTGTCTGCATTGAGGCCAAATATAAATATGATTAGTTTGTGACCTCAAACGGGGTTGCGAAGTTAAAATCTTTTAGCGTTGCGTGATACATTTTCTTGGGGATTTATTATGGAGATATGCAAAATAGAGTTTCGAAAAACGGGGTTAATAGATCTCAGTTGATATATACAAGATACAATATTGCTTATAATTTGATAAATAGTTCCTACATTACATAAATACCCTGAGAGATAATAAAGAAAACATGCTGGTACTTACTCCATAATTAATACTTTAACCACCATAACACGGTTTCAAGGATGCAACATACAAACCCATTTGTTATATAAAGGTTTTTTTTTTTCTAATAGAGCACAATTTTTCATTTGTAATACTAGTTTTTATTTTGTATTGAATTAGAAACTTTCTATTGGATTGTTTGCAGTGGAAATGGTATTTTTCAAATATTTGAATTTGAAATAATTCACATCTTTCTACGTTTTCCAAAATCGACCTCTTGGATTTTTCAATGTGTAAAACAAAGACAAAAAAAATAATTACAAAAACTAATTGAGAAACAAATTACCTATACTGGTCGACAACTATAAAAAAATGTATTGATTACCTATATAATTTGGAATTTCTTATAATAATAGTCAATGTAGCTAACCCATGTATTTGAAATCAAAAACACCGAAAATAGGATTTTTAGATTAAATCTTCATAAATACAAAATTTCTTGTGGCATATTTTGGTAATAATATTTAACTTGTGAAAATATTGGTTGTTCCTAGATTTAATTGGAAGTACCAAAGTCAGTTATTATCTATATATGGTACTCTCTATCAACTTCTTTAAATTTAAAATTTATATCTACCTTAAAAGGAAAATCACTTTTCCCAAAAATCGACCGCCACCCCACAAAACTTATATTACACTCCCTAATCTAAAACTCCAGGTACGATTTCGATCAACTATTTCCCGCGAGGCTTTCCGCAAGCAAATAAAATAACCACATGCGGGAAATTTTAACGCTTATTTGATCGAAACGGTTGCCTGGAGATGGAAAACCAACACATTGTAGGTTGTTAACCTGAACTTTTCTTTCGGTGGGCACAAGATTGGTTAGTCAGTATAAGGGAGTTTTGTTCCAGGATTTTCACACGAATGTTCAAAAAAAACTGAACTGAAATTAGGTTAAACAGAAATTGTTCTGCAAATAACTTGGCAGATAGGGCGGAGATTTTGTGATCATTTGGGAAAAAGTCTGAGATTATTATAAAAAGCAAAAAGTCTGAGATTATTATAAAAAGCCAAACAAGTTACGTCTTTTAAATTTTTTAATATCGTGCAATCCTGCAATAACTTTCTTAACTTTCAAATATTTCACAGACGATGATATTCATGACATAATGCAATTACATTTTGTACCACTTTGCAAATAAAACATTCTCATTTTGTTTTACACTTTTATATTTATATTTCATTACATCATAACTTAGCTAAAAGAATCACCTTTAAGCTTATATTTGACAACAAAAAAACAACCCAATAGATTTCTGAATAAAATTAACACAATTTTCAACCCTTTGAATACTTTGAACCAAAGCGTGACTAGAACACCCATATCAGAACACACTTCATTTTTACATCAAATTAGAGCCTCGTATTTCAAAAAACATTGCTCAACTTTTTCCCTTAAAAACCATCAACACATTACAAATCATTTCATAAGTACTGAAATGCAGTGCAGTAGTAAACACAGCCTTAATCAAACTTGGAGCAAGACCTTTAAAAAAACCTCTAGCTCCTTCCAAATAATATATTCGACTAAAACAATCTATTAAACCCTTACAAGTAAAATGTATCCCAAAACTATCCCTAGCATGCCCGAATCCTTGAATTTGTAAACGCTTTCTAACCAAATCAAAAGGATAAATAAAAGTTTTAGCACACAAGCCTGCTAAACTGCCAGCGAATAAAGTGCTAGACAATGAACTATTTTGCTTCTTGTTAATTTTTTTATAAAAATCATCGAAAAATCTGTAACACATAAACTGAGCTCCCGCGTGAGGGCCTACTTGCAAAACTGTGGGCCATAAACCTCTGAAAAGCGCAACAGGGCTTTCCTTTCTGCAAATGTCCCTGACAGCCGAAAACATGTTATGGTAAATCATTTTTTGTTGGCTCTGAGCTACAAATCTGGTTCGTACGACATCAAATGGAAACGAAACCAGAGTTGCAATACTCCCTGCAATATAGCCACACGAAAAAATTAGAAGAGGAGTAAAATTTTTAAAAGCCTCTAGTTTAGAAGCGTTTCTAATTAAAACTTCGTAGCTCCAAAATTGCGCTAGGCCATAACTTATCGACAGCCACTGTGCAGGAATGTGGCCTTTCCAAAACGCTTTTACGCCTTCTTCTTTGAAGATTATCTTTGTTGCTTGAAATATTGATCTGAAATTGATTTGTCATATTATTGACTTGTATATATTATTTTGGGTTCTTACCTATATTTGGCAGAATCAGCATGATGCGATATAGGTTCTACTTGTAATTGGAACCTGATTTTTAAAACGTCGAACGGTTGGCAAGTAGCTCTGGTAATACAACCCGAAGCGCCTCCTGCGAACATAAAGTCGAATTGGTTGAGGTTTTGGTGGGACATGCTCCAACCGACCATCTAGAGATTAGGAAATTGTTAGAATATTTGTGAACTGTGAAGTGTGATACATTTTATAAAAAAAACTTAAATGGAGTACTAGGTATAATAGTCGTGGAAATGTAATATTTATTTAGCAATAATTGTTTAGTTATAGTCTGTTGATGAATTGGTAAAAAGTCAAAATGGAATCATTTTTTGGTCATGGGCATCAGCTAAAATGGTCAATGGATAGGCAAAGCAAGAAATTAAGGATATTTTAGATGATTGGGAATCAAAAGATTTTAAGAGTTTATGTAAAATTACAAAATGTGAATATTTTTCCAATTGTTGTATTTTGGTACACCCAAGGGTACACCCCTTGTATCTCGGCACTCTCATAACTGATCGAAAAGGTGACAATGGGTTCTTATAGATCTTTCTCCGTAGATTTTAGTGGCATAGTCAGTTTTTCTCTGACGTAATACTCCAACGTTCGCGAAAACCGCATCCTTCTAACTCCAATAGCAACCGAGTTATCCCCCATGTACAACCAAAATGGGACACCCTGTACATGGTCACTTACAATAATAATATTGTAGACGACATTTACTGGAACCATTAGTCCAGTCAAAACAGAGTAATTAAAAATATATTTGGGCTCACCAATTCAATATAATGAGCATTTAACTTGATTCAATTTAGTTTATGGTAGGCAGGTAGAGGTAGGTATAGATAGTTACCTACTTTTATTGTTATTAGGTAAAAGGGAAAAATGTATGACATTCTGTTATTGTGGTCTCAAGGCAACTTGATGTATATATTTTCTAAACTGTATTTATTAAAAATTAGAAGGGGCTCCTAAGTGATGCAATGAGGGATTCGGTAACTTCATAGTTCAGAATGGATGTTAAAGATCGAAACCGGGATCAAAACATGTCAAAACATGATTTTCATTCATATAAGAAAGGATCGAGGAAAGGATAGAAGAAACTGAGCTGAGCAGAAAATTTGTGATGAAATACCTATTTGGACAAAGCAGATTAGCTTTGAATACGGATTGAAAAGAAAAAAATGACTTGAAATTGACAGAAACGTGTAAAAAACGTCTTAAACCCCACCCGTACAACGGACGTCACAACATTTTTAAAATGTCAGTTAAAGTCAAGTTAAAGTAACTGAGAATCCGATAGACGTTTATCTCTAGTGCAAATGTCACAAGCTCAAACGTCATATAGACGTTGAAAATGGACATTTTGGAAACGCCTTAACAATAAGGGGTAAACCACCAACTCAGAATTGGTGCAAACTTTTTCAAAGGGGAATTTTTTACGCATATTTCTTCAAAATGATTGCAAATTCCTCCAAATACCCCACCACGAACTTCTCCAAATACCCCACAAATTCCTGTTAAAAAAGGGAAAAGTTTGAAAATTTTTGTATGTAAAGAGGAAGGTGAGAAGCTCATTTTCCCAAAATTTCAAATTTTTCCAGTAGAAAATTACAACATGAGGAATCTTGGAAATCAACCTACAATAACTGCATTAGTTGAAAAAATACAGTCTCACACATTTCAAAATTTTCCTGGAAAACTAGTGAAGCGAAAATTTTGAAACTTTTTGCATGTAAAGAGGAAGCTGGAAAGCTCATTTTCCCAAAATCTCAAATTTTTCCAGAGGAAAATTACAACCTGAGGAATCTTGGAAATCACCCTACAATAACTGAATTAATTGAAAATACAGTCTTACACATTTCAAAGGTTTCCTGGAAAACTAGTGAAGGGAAAATTTTGAAACTTTTTGCGTGTAAAAAGGAAGGTGAGAAGTTCATTTTCCCAAAATTTCAATTTTTTCCAGTAGAAAACAGCAACATGAAAAATCTTGGAAATCAACCTACAAAAACTGAATTATTTGAAAATACAGTATCGCATATTTCAAAGTTTTCCTGGAAAACTAGTGAAGGGAAAATTTTGTAACTGTTTGCATGTAAAGAGGAAGGTGAGAAGCTCATTTTCCCAAAATTTCAAATTTTTCCAGTAGAAAATTACATGAGGAATCTTGGAAATCAACCTACAATAACTGAATTAATTGAAAATACAGTCTTACACATTTCAAAGTTTTCCTGGAAAACTAGTGAAGGGAAAATTTTGAAACTTTTTGCATGTAAAAAGAAAGGTGAGAAGCTCACTTTCCCAAAACTTCAAATTTTTCCAGTGGAAAACAGCAACATGAAAAATCTTGAAAATCAACCTACAAAAACTGAATTAGTTGAAAATACAAACTCACACATTTCAAAGTTTTCCTGGAAAACTAGTAAAGGAAAAATTTAGAAACTTTTTGCATGTGAAGAGGAAGGTGAGAAGCTCATTTTCCCATAATTTCAAATTTTTCCAGTGAAAAACAGCAACATGAAAAATCTTGAAAATCAACCTACAAAAACTGAATTAGTTGGAAATACAGTCTTACACATTTCAAAGTTTTCCTGGAAAACTAGTGAAGGGAAAATTTAGAAACTTTTTGCATGTAAAAAGAAAGGTGAGAAGCTCACTTTCCCAAAACTTCAAATTTTTCCAGTGGAAAACAGCAACATGAAAAATCTTGAAAATCAACCTACAAAAACTGAATTAGTTGAAAATACAGTCTCACACATTTCAAAGTTTTCCTGGAAAACTAGTAAAGGAAAAATTTAGAAACTTTTTGCATGTAAAGAGGAAGGTGAGAAGCTCATTTTCCCATAATTTCAAATTTTTCCAGTGAAAAACAGCAACATGAAAAATCTTGAAAATCAACCTACAAAAACTGAATTAGTTGGAAATACAGTCTCAAACATTTCAAAGTTTTCCTGGAAAACTAGTAAAGAGAAAATTTTGAAACTGTTTGTATGTAAAGAGGAAGGCGAGAAGCTCATTTTCCCAAAATTTCAAATTTTTCCAGTAGAAAATTACAACATGGGGAATCTTGGAAATCAACCTACAATAACTGTATCAATTGAAAATACAGTCTCACACATTTCAAAGTTTTCCTGGAAAACTAGTAAAGGGAAACTTTTGAAACCTTTTGCATATAAAGAGGAAGGTGAAAAGCTCATTTTCCCAAAATTTCAAATTTTTCCAGTAGAAAATAACAACATAGGGAATATTGGAAATCAACCTACAATTACTGAATTAATTGAAAATACAGTCTCACACATTCCAAAATTTTCCTGGAAAACTAGTAAAGGGACATTTTGAAACTTTTTGCATGTAAAGAGGAAGGTAAGAAACTCATCTTCCTGAAATTTCAAATTTTTTCAGTGGAAAATAACATGAACAATTTTGGAAATCAACCTACAAAAACTGAATTAGTTGAAAATACAGTCTCACACATTCCAAAATTTTCCTGGAAAACTAGAGAAGGGAATTTTGAAACTTTTTGCATGTAAAGAGGAAGCTCAGAAGCTCATTTTCCCAAAATTTCCAATTTTTCCAGTAAAAAATAGCAACATGGAAAATCTTGGAAATCAACCTACAAAAACTGAATAAGTTGAAAATACAGTCTCACATATTTGAAAGTTTTCCTGGAAAACTAGAGAAGGGAAAATTTTGAAACTTTTTGCATGTAAAGAGAAAGGTGAGAGCTCATTTTCCCAAAATTTCAAATTTTTTCAGTGGAAAATAACAACATGAAAAATCTTGAAAATGAGCCTACAAAAACTGTATTCCTTATTCTTTTGAATTTTTTAAATTTGGACCTGTAAATAATGAAGTGTAATTTTGGGAGGATTTCTTTAATAAAAATGAATATCCAACGTCCAACACAAAACTAGATTTTTTTTTTTAATTTCCTTTTATTACTATTTTTTATAATAAGAATGTGAACCTCAGTGATGTCATGAGTCATGACCCTACAATTTCCTTCAAATTCCCCACAAATTCTTTCAAATTCGTCATAAATTCCCTCAAATTCTCTATAAATTCCCCAAATTCTCATAAATTCCGATAAATTCCTTCAAATTCCGCACAAATTCCTCTAAATTTCCTACAAATTTCTCTAAATATAAACTTTCACGTTCCTTCAAGAACATTGAGATAGAACACTACTTTTAAAACAAAATTTCACAGAACATCCTATGGACAAAATTCTCCTCTAACAAAAATAATTAGAACAGCAAACTCGTTTAATGGTGATATTTTTAATATAAGTTTGGGATCCTTGAAAGCCAAATTAAAAAGTGTATAGACTCGATTTTAGATTTAAGTATATGCGCAATTATGCACTACCTACGTTCAGGAAACCTCTACTTTTTTTTTTTTTTTGATGGAAAGTTCTGTATTCAATGTTTTTATATTCTATTTTATGTGTTTTTTTTTATATTTCTATATAATAGCTTATAGTTTGTTTCAATTTTACCTATTCTTGGATATTATCTTCTAGTTTTAGTACTATTGTACGATTGGGTTTTAACCCGTTTGTTATTGAATAAATAAATAAATAAATTCCCCACATTTTTGGCAAATAATTCCTGGGTGGTTTGCCTCTTGCGCCTTAATATGAACATTTTCAAAACGCTTGGAAAAAAGACGTTAAGACGTATTTTGAGTTCTGGTGGTAATTGACCGGTGCTGAGTACCCTATTGACAAGCTGTACTAAAATGTTTAAAATGTGTTCTTCTATATTGATTAAATCTATTACTCTAATTTTATCATGGCCTGGTGCCGCATTCCTTTTGAGGTTTAATAATATATACTATTCAGTTCATTACAGTCCGTAGGGATATAGAATATATTATTATCACATTCAATTTCATTAAATTTTAAAATTTTTGGTTTCCCCTCGCACATCCTTGATTATAGTCGCAGCCGGGGTCGCACCTATCTCAGTAAAATATTTATTCAAATCATCTGCAATTTTTGGTCATAATATTCCAGGTAAAATTCAACCATACAGTTAAAGATCGCATCAAGCAGGCTCTAACAATGGTCTCTAGGTAGACAGAAAATTAGTACCACCAAATCGACAATTGTCCCCTTTACCAAAAGAAGAAAATTGGAAGGACTTGGACCTCTTTACCTTCAGAGAAACCCAGTTACGATGTTGGACAAAGTTAAAGCTTAAAAGATCAGAACTGGTACTTATACTAGCCAGGAGAACTTTCGGAAAAACCGCTGCGGGCCGACATAATGTACTGGCTATACACAACTGTTGTAAAGCCAGCAAAAGGGGCAAACACAGATATTTGTTACTACTTTACAAGGTTCTTGCTGAAAGGAACATTATCAAATTATTGTGCCAATTCTACACTCAAAAAAATTGTACTCATTCCCATTCCACTCATTCCTACAAAGTATGTTCTAGGAAATAAATATCAAGCAATTTTAAATATTTCACAAAATTGAGAGAGTCTGTTGAAGTTATCATGTTTTAATCGAGGGGGTAGTCACAGTGGAAATCTTCTGTGCTATGGGATGGAGATTTGTGGAAATCCATGGATATCTGTGGAGTTACATGGAGATCCCATAGAGGTACATGGAGATACGGTGGAAATACGTTGAGATCCAAGAATTGCGTGCGCACATTATTGCAACAGGTATTGTGGTTATTAAGGTATATGAGAAGATACGGTTGATATGGATTTCCATGGAAATCCAAATGTTGGTACTCCCTGGGGATCCCAGGATATCCTTGGAGATCCAAGGATATCTATGGAGTTTCAAGAAGATCTCCATGAATGAAGATTATTTGTCCTAAAAAATCGCAAGTGACCTACCCCCTCAGTTTCAATACAGGACCCTCCATGACGTAATAGTTGTGTAATGTCGTCATAGAATATTTGTGGTAGTAAAAATGTCCAAAGTTATCTTTATTAGAAAATAAACTATTTATAATTTATCAGGAACTAGAAAATACATGTAGGTATATTAAAATTTACCTTAAAGTTTCAACTATTTTATGTAGAACACTATAAACAGAACAAGATCATTTATTATATTTTTTGCCCCACTCGAGGCCGATTTCCAGAAATAATATTTGGTTTTGTATGTCATCTCAGAATATTAACATATGCAATAAGATTGTGTGTTTTGGAATTAGGTGAGACATTTCAAGCAAACCTTATCTTATTATTTATGTTGAAATATTTAATAGTGGAAGTGGAGTAGAAAAATAATAAAAATAGCAAAATAAAAGGCCTTTTAAAATTTAATTTTGATTGAGGTTAGAATGTTTAAAACAGCTGACTCTTCCTCTTCTTTACTACATCATAACTTTTTTTTTTGTTATGACGTCACTAGTATGCTAGTAGAGATGTTTTTATTGGAGCTTTACAAACAAATTCCTTATATAAACTAACGATTTCCCTTATTCAATTTGTTTTATAATTCATTCCAGAATTCAAATAAAAGTATGTACTTACCAAATAATTAGAATTTTTAATATTATTTACTTCCTTGTTCCCCTTCCCCTATTAAAAAAACAACGCAGGCGCATTTGTCAGTCTCCCATTTTGCCCACCACAGATGATTTTCAGTTTTCTTTTTCACAGTTTGTGACTAGTCAGCGTGCGTGCGTCATCGTAATTTTAATTGTGTGTTGTGTGCCTCGTGTTTCTTTTTTGACTTTTCTTTAGTTTTTCCTCGTTTTCTTCAAAGCTTAAGGATTTTCACGGATTCCCGACACTACAAGGTAAGATTAGAATCGTCGGCGAGCGCTTAAAACCCATTCGGGACGGAGAAATCGTCACAAATATGGGACACTTTCGAGGTACAGTTGCGACATTCGCCTTTGTCTCTACGTGTTGAATTTTTTCAGTTTTAAATTCATTTATTTTGGTTTTTAATTAGGTTTTAAATCAAATGAATATAAATCTTTCATCTGCTACAAGAAAGAAATAAACCCTGAAACGTCCACAGAAAAATATCATTGGTGTGGAGGACAACTCCAAAAAAAAAACCGTTCTTTGTTTACAAAATAACCATTTTTGTAATTTACCGAGTATTTAAATTTTGACCTTAATTGATTCAAGTAATGTGGCTTACTTTAAATTTAATGATATAAGTATGAAGTAGTATTACAGAAATACAGCTACGAAAGCAATTATTTTGAAAACATTATCCTTGGAAATAGGGTATTTCATTATAATGTGTAATGTGTGGAAAGATCTGATCTCATCATTACCCATATTTTAAGTGTTTCAAAAAACACTATCAGAATTAACTTAAAAGATTTCAATCAAGGTGAAATCATTATGATTTCAGAAATAGAAGCTGAATCATTTTTTGTTTACTCTGCATTGGAAAACCGAAAAGTGATTCAGGATTCAGCCGACAAAAGCCTATAAAAAGATTCCACTTAGGAAGATGTTAAAAAAGGTCTCATGAACATAGGGGTCCGGAAATGCTTCATAAAAGAGCTAGGGTTATAAAATAATTTTATCTAAATTAACATGGTCTCTTAATTACCAAAATATATTTTTCGAGAGGGTGAGCAGACTTGACAAGACGCAGGAACCACAGAACAGCATCTTCTCTTTGAAAATGTGGAGGGTTTTGTACTTTGATTGTTTTACCTACTAATTTTTTAGTGCTAATCTTTCTAGTGGTGCTAAAAAAAATAAGTTTATTGTTTTTATATGACAAATCTCTCCTAGGATTATTGATTTTTTCAGACAAACAAAATAGCATAACATTTGCAAATATTTCATCACAAGTGGAAATGTCTGGTAATAACTGTAAAACCTTGTATGAAAGTGGTGAAGAGTTTCAACTAAAAATCACCCAACACCCTGGTTTAATAAGGATATTTTAGAAGCCATCAAAATTAGGGATAATTGAATAATCATAACTTTTTTTCTATCACTGATAGAAAGCTGAAATTTTCAGCAATTCCTATCCTAGTAGAGCACTACGAACCCTGAAAACTTCAGCTCATTTGGGCTTATATTTCCTGAGAAAAAATTGGGTTAAGGAATTAGGGGTTAATTTTTGGATTTTTGACTTTTTCTGAAGTTCTTTTCCATATATTTCGGCTTCAAATCGGAAAATAAATCACTGTATGAAGTTTCTGGGCTCCCAATTGAGTATGACTAGAGGTTTGACCATTTTGGACATGACTTTTTGAAAACTTTGAATAATCATAACTTTTTTTCTATCATAGATAGAAAGCTGAAATTTTCAGTGATTCTTATCCTAGTAGAGGACTACAAACCCTGCAAAATTTCAACTCATTTGAACTTGTGTTTTATGAAAATATTCTAGTTAATACATCCGAAAATACATCCTGAAAGTTTCAACTCGATCTGATACTCCCAAGTTTTTTGGTATCAACTTGGAGAAAACCTCATAGGCGACCTCATACTTAGTTTTATTTCTGAGCTTCAGATCGATTTCAAATTTGCTCTGTTTGATGAGAAGATCCTAGTTAATGAATCTGAAAATCTCAATTCGATCTGATCCCTTAAAGTATTTTTCAGGATTTCTCAAAGATGATACTTATAACATAAAACTGGTATCAAGTTGGGCAAAACCAAGAAAAAAACATCACAATTTCATTTCTGAGCTTTAGATTGACTTAAAATTTGCCTTGGTTGGAGAAAACATCCTGGTTAATAAATCCTGAAGCTTTGAAGTCGATCTGATACTCCGAAGTCCGAAGTATTTTTCAGGATTTTTCAAAGGTGATCACGAATTTTTCAACTTTTTCTCGTATTACGTTAGAAAAAAACCTCATAATTTTATTTCCGAGCCTCAAATTGACTTCAAATTAACCTTGTTTGATAAACAGATCCTGGTTAATGAATCCTGAAGGTTTGAAATTAGTCTGATACTCCAAAGATTTGTGAGTAATTCACTTACTGTTAAGAAAAATTCTGACCTGAAAATGAATTAAATTTTGGGGTACATGTAATTTGGTTCCCAAGATAATGAGGGTTAGAAAAAATATGTAATTTTGTTCCCACAACTTTTCGTTTGCCTGAATTGTATGTGTAAATTGGTTCCCGCTACCTGAAGTACTTTATTATTATTATTATTTTACAATAGAAGGTGGCAAAGCCGATGAGTCTATTAATTGGTTTATGTCATACCAATACATTATTGTGTTTTTATACCTTAGATACCATCTATATAAGTCATTACTTTATGCCGTGCGGGCATAAAGTAGGTACACATTATGGCCCGCGCGGGCATAAAGATGCAAAAAAAAGTTTTCAATTAACTTATTCTTTATTAACAAAATATAAATTTACGCTTATAAATATATTATTTTTGTCAAAAAATGATGATTTTGAACACTGATGACAATTTGCAAAGTGACACTTTTTTCCCAGGGATTTATTATTCACAACCAACTGGTATGACATAAAAATTGGTATGCACCACGGGTACTAATAGATATATATACCCTCGGGCGACTTACGAACCCTCGGGCCAGAGGCCCTCGGCTTTGTAAGACTGTCGCCCTCAGGGCATAATCATCTACTTAGTACCCTTGATACATAAATAACTATTTTATATCAGTTCACAATTTTAAGTCCATAATTAACTGTCACATCCATTGAATCTCAGATATGGTATTATTTTGTCACTAGTTTACTGGGGATAGTGGACAAACTGGTTATGAACTGGTTATTGTTTTGACTTATATCTCTGTCTACACGATTTTTGAAGGAGTTAACACCAATGACGTTAACACTAGTGGCATTTACCATATCTTGACTCAGGTTATTCCACGAATACATGACCCTGTTTGTTAAGAAATTGCGTCCTAACAATTTGGAACATTTTTCCCTGTTTAATTTCTCATTATGCCCTCTCAGGTGCACATTATCGGCAATAATAAAGATGTTAATTATATTGCACGCACTTGTAATGACCACTAGTTATTTTATAAATCTCAATCAAATCTCCACGCTGTCTTCTTTGGTAGAGGGTTGTAAGATTAAAGCGCTTTAAAAGTTCTTGATAAGAAAGATCGTTGAGCTCTGAAGGGATCTTAGTTACCATTCGCTGAACTTTCTTTAGAAGATCTATATCTTTGACTCCATATACTTTGCATATATTCTAGTTTTGGCCTTATGTAAGTCTTGTAAAGCTTAAGTATCATATCACTAGATAGGTTTTTGAATGACTCTTATAAGGTAAATCAAGGTGTTCACTTTTTTGACAGTTGTTGAGATGTGACACTCCGATTTGAGGTCTTTTGTGACTATAAGTGCACGTTCACATTGACACTGCTCGAGCGGTGAGCGTTGCGCGATGCCGCTGTAGCGATGCCCGAAAATAATTTTAACATTATATTTCCAATGAATATGTTCACACTGGAGCGTCGCGTCCCACGGTGTTAACATGTTCATTTGAAATATAATGTTAAAATTATTTTTGGGCATCGCTACAGCGGCATCGCGCAACGTTCACCGCTCGAGCGGTGTCAATATGAACGCGCACTTAGGCCTATTTTTTGTAAATCTTTCTGTTTTTCGAATGGAGTCACCTCAGTGTTTTCTATAGTGTACCTATAATTGGGATTAGTACTTCCTAAGTGAAGAACAGTGCACTTAGATTCGTTTAATGGCATCTGCCATGTTATAGTCCATTCTTTAATTTCATCAAGATCGCTCTGCTTTTGTAGGTATTGGTCACTTGCTCCGCACGTAGAATTTTTGTCATCTGCAAAGGATGAGGTGTCACACTCGAGATCTGCAGGAAGGTCGCTTATGTATAATATAAACAGCAAAGTTGCATTTACCAAGCTCTATGCACCTTGCGACTACTGGAAAGAACATTGTCTATTTTTCTCGCTATTTTTACTTGAAAGGTCCTTCCTTGGATAAGTTCGCTGATAACTCTATGCACATTGCCCCGTATTCCATTATGCTCTGATTTTAGCAGGAGTCTCCTGAAAGGTACCTTATCAAAAGCCTTTTCAAAATCTATGTAGACAATGTCAAATGGTGTCTTACTGTCATCCATTTGAGTCCATTTGTTGAATCTTTCCAGCAGGTTAGTGAATGTTGATCTTCTTGGTAAGAACCCATGCTGTGAATCAGGTATTACTTGCTGTTCTAGTAAAAAAGATGTTGGCTCATTCACTAGGATTTTCTGCATGCATTTGCAGAGTATGCTGGTGAGACTTATTGGTCTGTTATTTGATAGTTCCAGTTTGTCCCCCTTTTTAAAGATTGGTACAACTATTGATGATTTCCATATTTCTGGAATAGGAGCTCCTTTCATTATAGGGTTTAGAATAGTGGCTATAGGACTGGAGAGCGATTTGGAGCAGTTTTTCAGAAAGAGGGATGGAATTTCATCAGAACCAGGACTAGACTCCGCCTTTAGAGAAGAAATGGCCATTTGTACTTTTTCTGGGGTGAATTCTATATTACTTATCTCTGCAGCGATGTGTAGTTCAGGTGAAAGAGTTGGTAGGTTCAGTATGTTGTCATCTTCTTGAGTGAAGACTCTCTGGAACTGGTCTGCAAAGCAAAAAGCAATTGGCAATTTCAGTCTCATCGTAAGTAGTCTTGATTCGTGTTAGTATTTCTGAGCCCAAAATTTTGGAGACGGGAGTTTAGGAAATGTTTTATACTCAGTTTTATATGAAGTAAAATTTCTTAACAGGAGCTTGCAATAAATTCTGTTCAAATTCTTGCTTAGCCTGGCTTAAGATCTACTTTGTTATATTATTTTGTTGTTTGTAATGATCATAATCTGTGTTTGTTTTTGTCCTTTTATACTTATCCCAAAGTTTTCGTTACTTAAGGTCTCGCTTAAGGTGAATTACCATAGGCAATAAAACAGACCTAGCAGTATCTACAATATTTATTTATTATTACCTATTTTATCCAAGGAACCTAAGAATTGGTAATTCTGGCAAATATGGTAATTGATCATAAAATAGGTGATAAAAGGACCCTGCCCAAAATAAACGGAAGTTGTGTTTATTTCAGAATTGGCTGAATTTTGTATATGTATAATGTAGATCACGCATTTCTGATTAAAAGTTACCATTGCACCAATCCTGAAAAATGACTCCACGAAGCACACCACTGCGCCACAAGCTTACCTTTTCATGCTATATTGAACGTCCATTACAATGTCCAAGCGTTTTACTTGTTACCTAAGAAATTAATTTTCTCAAAAAAAGTCATTTCTCAGGATTGGTGCAATAGTAACTTTTAATCAGAAAGGGGTGATCTACATTAAATACAAAATTCAGCCAATTCTGACATAAACACAATTTCCGTATACTTTTGGCAGGGTCCTTTATAAATGAAACTCTATACAAGCTTCAATTCCAACAAAAGGTGTAGTACGGTAGCCATCCATTTCGTCATAATAGTGCCTGATGGCCGATAAGGTACTTTTTTCCACGAGAACGGTAATCGATATTTCACTTGGGAAGATGGCTGCCCCCAGGCCAGGCTCAACCTCCCAGGTCGAGAGTCAAAATTTAATAGGGCTGAAGAATATGCATTATTAACTGAGAACCAATATTGCAACACTCTTCAGGTGTCTAGGTATCAAATTACATATTGATAAGAAAAAGGGGCTAGCACCTTTTTATTTAATACCTGCCAGGAACCAAATTACCAACACCCAAATTTTGAACCAATGAGTAAAAAGTACATTCTAAGTTCTACTCATTTTTGAACTACAAAATCTGGAATTTCACTGGAATCCCACATGCTTGAACACAATAATTCCAAGGTGATTTACGCCTCGAACCCAATCTGAACATGAATTTTCGAAAACTGAATATTCCTTGGAATAATCATAACTTTTTGTCTATCTATAGAATGCAAGTATGGATGATTGTTTTGAAGAATTTGTTTTTCATTAGGAATGATTGTGCAGGTGTTGGTAATTTATACTATAGTATGATCCAATGACATAATCCTCTCATTTTGTTCATTTGTATAGTGAGTTTCTTCTAACTCCTTGCACTATCTTCAGATTTATGTAAAAGACACATTTCTTAATGTTTATTTTGATATGTATGTTCTCTCTCAATAAATCAGATCTTATACCTAACCCCCGACCTAACAATTGACCTATGGACCTATTATTTGATGAACAATAACTCTTTAACTATAAGTAAGAGGACTCAAATTTACATTATTATCAAACCAGGAAATGACAATTTTCTATTAAAATCTGCATTGCCCTATCTTTAAGTCAATGTTTGCCAGCCGTTGCGCTATTTATTTACTAAACACTGACAAAAATAGACCAACTTAATTTAAGAAAAACGTTATATAGTGTGCTCCAAATTTTAATTGAATTTCCTGAAGCGTGTTTACATAGACATACGCACCAGGAAATATGTAACTAAATGTAGGATTTAAGGTACCTAATAATTGAAAGTTTTGATTAAACTTAATGAAATTATTTTTTATGTTGCTAATTATTTCTGCCTTGTAGGCATGTTGTTAAGTTTTCTTGGGGTTTCAATATCAAATCCCTAGTGATAAAGGAGTTATTGCCTGAAGTCTGATTGAAGACCTGAGATCTGGGCAGTCTACAAAATTGAGCTGCAAGTAAAAAAATTGGGGTTTTACTCTCATATTTTTCTGGTAGAGAAGTTCCTGCCTTGAATGACACGTAAGGCTTAAACTTGCAAGATTCTATACCATACAGATGAACATTATTTTAGATGAGGCCTAACAAGAACATTGTAAACAAGGTGCATTGTCGAAATATGATTGAAATGAAATCCCTTGTAGGTTTATTTTTTGCTTGATAATTCCTACCATTTTCATAGACAACATTGGTTATGTAGGGGGTATTAAAGACAAGGACGAATTAAAAACAACTTCTAAAGTATTGCAACATTCTGAAGCTATTGAACCTATTTCTGTAAGATGAAGAACTTTTATAAAAGAAGGATTGTATACGGGCAAATTTTTCAACTGGTTGTTGATATCTTTTCACTCTTTTCAAGTGCTAATCTATGGTTTGCTTGGTATGACTTTTATTAAACAATGCCTGTAACCCAATGCCATATGATAATAAATAAACGAAATTCGTCGAGAAAGCTGATAAAGGCAATTGCAAATAAAAATAATGTCCCATCCAACAAAACCGCGCTTCAAAGAAGTTATCATCGCGCCAGCCTTGGATTTTATTTCAAGTTTATCTTGCGACTGGTTTAAAATTTCTCTTGACAAGGAGAAGAGAGAGATTTCTCCACCACACAGACAATAATCGAAAACACGAACTGGCCACTTTCCAACAGCAATTTTGCATGTCTCGAAAAGTAAATTACACACAAACGCACACGCAGTGCATCTGCCCAAAAGTTGCCTTTAGGCTCAGGTTTCTCAGTGTTTGAGAACAAAGGGATGTCGAGCAGGTAACCAAGACAGTTTTTTTTTTTTGGAAGCCTTTAAAGTTTACCTATATGAGAACTAGGTAGGTCTCCTCAAAGTTTGAGACAACAAAGAAGATGCTTGTATAGGTCTGAAATTAGAGATTATCGATTTTTTACAAAGTCATTACTGATTAAGTAAGTGACTGGCGATTCCTGCACGATAAGCTTTTATAGTTTCTATTAAAGTACCTATTGTTGCATGCAATTTCTTATAACCCATAAACTCGGGTGCATTTTATTATTCCTACAATTGCGCTAACTGTTATTTAATTTCAAAAACGTTTTGTTGCGGTTACACTATAGCAGTTTCAAGTTAATTATTTCCTCGTTTTTGTTTCCAGGATATCTTCGTCTTCGTTTCAATTCAGTTTTTCCGAGGCGCGCACTGAACGAAGAAAATCAAAAGAAGGCGTTCTACGCGTCAATTTTCCGATCCACCCGATGTAAAATACGACACAAAACGACTTTTTTTAAGACTGATAGAAAAATTTCGAGCTCAGCAAAAACGTAATATGAAGGAAGAAATATGCGCCGCGGCCAAATTTTTTGCCTGTTTCCTGGAGAAAAGTGAAAAGGTGCCGAGGGAACAGTTGAGTAACTTTGAGAAACACCTAACGGATCTTCTCATTGAAAGGTTAGTAACTTTTATATTGTTTTTTACAAGTATAACTAAGTAATAGACTTTTGACTGGTTTGAATCTGATACATATACCATCTGCTCTTGTAGTATCAGTGTAATATACTTTTTTCCACTTCGAAATGTTGATGTAAGCTTAAAAGGGTAGCAAACCCTTTTAAACAGATGAAGTACTTCAACTTTAGGATGTTTTTGAAGCCGCTTCCTTTAAGTGATGGAAATTTTTACATCATTCTTTTGTCAATGAGTTTTAGATCTGGCATGCTTTAAGCTGATGGTCAACAAAATTACTTTGGCACAGTGTATAATATTAAAAGAGGCAATTGAGGCAAAAATTCATCTGTTCAGGGTTCCTCTATGGTTATTTATTCAGCTGACATTGACAAAGCTATAAATAAATCCATGGCAGTTTATTCAATCAAGTCGACATAAACCAATGATGTGAATTATAAAGAACGAGGCGTAGGCTAGCTGAGGTCAAGTGTTCTGTTGACACTAAACGAAAAATATTTGCACGAAATACAAGCGTGGCTTTAAGACAAGGGATATTTAATTAAAATGCATTTGCTAGAGTGATTTGATGACAAAAAAACAGTATGTGGACATCGATGTGTAACTGTAGCAGGATAATAGGTTGAAAACTAGCACTTAGCGACCAGTTTAAAGTCATTAAATATTAATCAGTTGTGTGCGTATCCTTAATTTGTAGTTTATACCATTTCCTGCCTTAAATACATAACTAATGACGGTTTTATGTAAGCGAACGATAAAAATTTCCTTGTAAAATGTAAAAGTTAATCTTCGGTGTTGCTTAATAAGAAATTGCAATTTGAAAAATTTTATAAACATATTTATCTCGAGTCAGTTAAATATTATAATTACATATTAAGACTAATCTAAAAGCACATCCTATTGAAACCATCATATCTCTAAAACTTGGCGGAACAAACTCTTGAGGATGTGTGCATCATCGAATTGTATTTATAGTGATTTCAAGTCAATTCTACGTATCTAGAGCCAAAACAAAGACGCTGGCCACACTCCAACATCAGTTCAGTTTATTTTACCTAAAATTCCTGTGAAATTTATCTCTGATTCAAATACAATTGAATAGTATCCTGGATTACAAAAACAAATTTTGTACCACATAACGCAATGACAGAATTTGCAAAAATTTCAATGCATATAAGTAGGTACCACACGACGAAACAGTTTTAAATTGCAAAACTGTATTTGAAATGCGGAAAACAGACATTGATTATTTTTAAAAAATGCCCTGAATACGAAATTTGAACTCTCACGAGTGATGCAAGATCTCATTTTGTCAAAAACTAGGTTAATAGAAGCAGAATTCTCTTAGTTTTGATGTGTATAATTTTCAATAGTCAAGCAGACATATTTTTTATTGACTCAAGTCTCTGTATTCTATTTTTATGTTTTTTAGTATATAGGTTATAGACAAACTGAGTTAGCTAAGGGCCGGTATTATAAAACACTGAACCGATGGTTGAGTTTCAACCTTCGGTTGAATCCTATCAATTTGCATGGAGTCAACCGAAGGTTGAAACTCAACCATCGGTTCAGTGTTTTATAATACCGGCCATTAGTCCACAAAACTTTCTCTTGACAATAAGGCTTGGGTTTGGAATGTAACACAGCTACAACTCTGGACAATCAACTATAAAATATGCCAATAATCTTGAATTTCAAAACCTAAAATATTGCACTGCCACAAAAGTGTATTTAATTTTTCGGTTATATAAGTCTCAGCTAAAACTTGCATTGCAATAATATCTTGAAGTTTTTTTCGAAAGTAATCAAGTTTGGTAATGCAGACCAAGTAGACTTGTTGAGCGATTTTTAATTAACAAATCGTTACGCAAAATATCGATGTTGAGATACCTATACTATGAAGAATTAGAGTGTGTAGGTAACGTTCGAGGCGAAAAATTGATGTCAAATCTTGAATTCGTGTTACGAAAAGTATCGTGCGCGCACCGAGAGCAACATTACAGAATTTCTAATAAATTGTTTTTTTCTTTGTATAAAAGCTATTTGACTTACTTTTAAACAAGGCTTCTTCGTGAAAACGTGTACGCTGCATTACATAAGCCACAATCGAAGGCGCACCTTACAATATGTAAATTCACCCTGTACAACATGCATACGTACTCAGCTTAAGCAGACCTTATTAAACTTAATTACTGCTCGAGCCATGTGCATTTAACATTTAATTGTAAAAGGTTAAAAAACTTCTTTCCGCTAGCCTTGGGTGGCTTTAATCTAAAACAAAGAATGATTACTATTTTTCAATGGAATCGGAAAAAGCGACCCATTTGTTTTGAGGATAAATCTCTATAAATTTGAAGGTCTTTAATTAAATAAATAAGAAAGTTTAATTTTGATTCGATATGCAAATGATTGCTTTTATGACAAACCAAAGAGATATGAATCGAAAGAAAGTTGCAAATTAGGAAAAGAAACAATACCTTATCGTGGTCGATATTTTTATTGTTACTGTTTCAGGCTAAAGGAGAATCTATATATAAAAAAAGAACAATGGACAATTGCTGCTACATAAGATCTTGTGATACACTTTTTTGTCTGTGTTTATGACACACTTTTTCAACTTTAATTGAAACGTTTTCTAAAAAAAGAAAATCCTGATTATTAGGTACATATTATGAGTCATGTAATTTTATCCACAATTTGTGATCTTTGGGCTTTATTTGTTACCGTTGTTGTTACCTACCTACTAGCAGAAGCTGATTCTATATTCTTTCTACCAACATACAATGATATTAATCTGGCTGGGGGTCACATTGTGCAGAATTCTAGTCTTTTCAGTTGTACGTATATTCTTATCCCCAAGGTCCTGACTATTTCTAACTGACTTGAGATCAAAACATTTCTTAGTTTCCATAAACTGGGACACTTTTAACACAGTATTATGTAGTTGGTTAATATTGCAGCTGTTGTCGTTTCCGGCCTTATTTTGCAGATGTAACCGCTACATGAAAAATTCAATATTTAAATTTCACTTATGCATAATAAATAAATAAATCAGGTTGATGCGGTTTAATCAAGTCGAAGATTTATTCTAGTAGGTACAGTTATATTTTGTGGCTTGTAAAATTAAGTTTATCCTCGTAAGATAATTATTCGTCCTCGATTATTAAAACATAAAAACGTAAACTATTTTGCACAACAACACTTTTTGCGAAACAACAAATAATCGGTGACCTTTTCGGGTTTGGCCTTTTATTTAACTTTTAACCTCTCGAGATTCGCGTCAGGCCGTGCACGATTTTGCGAATTTCCATTTCCACAATTTTGATTGGTTTCCGCTCAAATGCATGATTTCCATTTTGGAAAGAGCCCTAGGAGGAAATTATTTTGCAAGCCAGACATACCTATAGAGTTTCATTATTGTATGGTAATTGTGTGTCCTTCAACATTTGTACTTTAAATGTAAATATCTGCTAGAATATCTGGTAAATACTTTTCAGAGTTTTGATTCGCTCTTTTGTTGAAAATATGAACATCATTAATATTGGATTAGTTGCTATACTCAATGTGAATCTCGTATGACAGGTAAAAAATCCCCACATGGAAACGTTCCATGTTTTTAGCCAGATTGAAAATGTTTGCCAAAACAACAGGGAGAGTTTATTAAGTTACATAATATAACGTTGATTAATGGAGGACGTTTCTTTTTTTCGTTATCTTCTCTGTTATTTTGTTTTCAGACATAAAATTGATGTGGCAGTTATTTGGAAAATTTAAGATTGAGTTTGAGACAGTTGTACTAATGGAAAATTGTGTATGGTATAAAGTCCAGACATAAAATTAATCTTTATATAAAAGTGAAATTTAAAGAGATAACTGTATATTATAACTTGTAACAAAATAGATGATAATGAAATCGAGAAATGGAATATTATTCAATAAGAGATAGCCAATGCCAATAACCTTCCTTCAAAGCTGAAACGAAGAATTTTTTTGACATGTTACAGGCCAAAACATCATTAATAAAATAGAAATGAATAGTTCGTTTTAGGGCGAAAATAGCAATTCTTTATTTAAAAAAATTTAGAAAGTTGAATACCTACGAGATTATTGGATGTATTGAAAAGCAAGAGGCCAATATGGGTTCTCTGGGGAAACCCCAGGCAACCCTGAAATTTCAGAGGATTAAAAATTATTTATTGGGACCACCATGACAAAGTAACTCTCAGTCCAATCAAATAGTGGCTGTCAAATTCCAAGAGATAAAATTCCACTAAGGAATGAGGAGGAGATATCATTTTTCAATTTTTCTGCTCACCCAGACTAACCCAACTAATCATTTAAAGATAAAATCTCAACAACAGAAATAATTTGAAGTTTTAACATTTTCCATGTAAAGGGGTGATTTAAATTTTCAAAAACTATCCCATTCTCAATAAAATCCCATGAGTAACAACTCTGTGAAAGGCCTCAGATGGAGGTGGACTCCAGATATAGGTACGTTCCAAGGCCTCTGACTCAGAAACAAGGTTGGCTCCAATGTTCTGACCACGCAAAAGCCAATATTAATTGGTACAAAAAAAAAAAATAATAGTAACCCTCAACAGGTAACATGGAAAATTGTTTTACCCCTACCCTACAATACAAGAGAAATCTAGCATTTCATAGGCACAACAGTACTGAAAGAAACGAGGGGTCAATCACTATACTTACAAATGTAGGTACAATAAATCTCATGTATTCTCATCCCAAGAATTGCGACTGATTGTATGATTACCAGGTGATTTCCATTTTTCTGGGGATTCCTATATCATTCCCAATTGATTCATTACCTGATTTCCTCGATGATTTCCTATAATCATCCGATTTCCAGCTGATTTTATCACGAAAACAATGTCTAATTGTTAAGCTTCACATTGATATGACCAAAATAAACAGTATTTTCTCTTATAAAAACACGTTTCCACTGAGAAATTGGCAACTTCTGT